GCATACTGTTCGTTATTTTTGCACAACTTCCTGTCACAGACCACAGAATTTGAGAAATAATAACAGGGCGGAGGCGTCGACATATCTCCATGAGTGTGTCTTTTTGTGTGTGTACACATGTACACCAGCTAGTGCAAAGGAGAACTTTTATTGAACAGCGGACAAAATGAGCACGTGGCCAATCGGTGCACACCAGGTCAGAGCAGATTGAGCACAGCGTTAATATGTTGCTCCGTGTTTCTTCATCTCTTTCCAGTGAAAAGGGGAGCCACGTTCATCTAACTCGGCCATACGGTGGCAGAAATGCTAAGAGGGGGCCGTTCATTTGAATTGAAAAGGGTATGAGAGCAAACAAAACAAATACCACTGACCATTCTGGCCTGTTTATCTGAACGGACTTTATACCTTGTGATGCACAAACTTCTGAGCAAGTGAACCTGCCTGGTGGTAAATATTCAAACGACACAGACTGATACAGAGAGGATGAGTAAGCTGTCGACCATTATTCATTACTCCCGTTTATTCATGTCACACATTGCCACTGTGGGACGAACCCTTGCATAGCGGCCGAGAAATGGCATTTCTGATCAGTTAGCTTAGCAAGACACAGAATGAACAAAACCGTTTCTTCCATGACAACGCAGAATACTGTTCTGCGAAATTGGTCGTGTCCTGAAACCGAAAAGTCACTGCATCGCTGCACCTTTAGAGAGTCGCTTCGTTACTAGGAACGGGCATGTGTCTTTTATCACAAAATATGGAGATGTACTACGCCTGCAACTGATAAATACTTCATCTCGGTCCTAAATTTCAGATTGTCATACAGATATACAGTCAGATTTTTTTGGAATCCAGATTAAAAACATTTGTAGATTTCTTCATATTTTTTTAAAAAGGTAGGAGAATGGAATACCTGACACCATCTCTATGGAGAGGGGTTCTTTGTCGCAGTAATGGCATTTCAACATGAGAAAAGAGAGAGAAATTTTAACAGCAGCAACCCGAGCGTGACTCTCCAGCGGCGCCAGTAAGTCCATCGAAGCGGCCTTTTGTCGGTCTGGGTACCAGGAAAGCCACGTGGTTTGTAGTGGTGGAGGGATTACCAGCTGGAAGCAACGTGCTAGGACCACCATCATTAAATGGATCGAGTGACTATAGCCATCTGTGAGATGCCTCCAAACCACACAGCCATGAGGCACTTGATGCATTGTTATCAGAGGACAAAGGCTCAAGAAGTTTATTGGGGATTCCTATGAACTAAATGAAAACGGTACACGCCGAGGTTCCAAGTACGGCGTGTAAGTGGCATTCCTCCTCGTGTTGAACAGCTCAGCACTTAGCAAGTAAGAACAGGCTCCAGAGCAAATCAAACGCAGCCCCCGGCCTTTTCTTTTTCCTCTGTAAAGTACAGTAAGGAGGGAATGAACAGAGACCACCATGTTAAACACTATGCTCATCCATGTTGGGTCATTATCAACAGTGTCTGGACAATAGTCGAGTTTGAGACTGAATGTCAACAGCCCTCAGCCAAGTTTCTAATATTGATTCAAGAAATCAATTCCAAAGTGTCACAAAAAAATAAGGTCTGCTAATGCATCACATGTCTCGTGGAGTTAACAATTTATAGGACCACGATGAATAACGATGCCAGAGCTCTTTGCGTCCACGTCTCATCGACCTTTATGCAACATACCAGGAATTTTATCTCTGACAACGAATAAAACACCTGAGATTAAATTGCTGCCTCGGGGTGTGACCAAATGACCAACAGGCTTAAAAAGGTTTCAGACACGGAAAATTAACCTTCAGCTGCGTTTTTTTTCCAGAATCAACCCAGTAAACTAAACTTTCCATTCCCGTCACGCCCCCTGTGACTCGTCGTTATTGTTGACTCCTACACATTTTCTACCCTTATCTGCATTTCTGCCTTCTGGCTCCTTCCCCAATGACTTTCTCTCGTTTCAGTCACACACACACACTTCTTCTGCCCCACTCAGCTCAATGTTGGCTCACTTGCAATCCCTCGCTCAGCCTGGCTCCCTAAAGTATTCCCGTTCACTCGGAGCCAAGAGGCCTCTGCTCCAAGCAGTCCATTAACCACTCCAGCTTCACGCTGGCACCCGGTCATCCTATTCTTCAGCTCACAGTATGCTCTTCTTCCCCGGAGATGCAGTGAACAGGAAGCTGGATGTCTGTGTGCGCCTGCCTAGGTGTGCGCGTGTCTGGTGATCACAGCAGACATAAAGAAAACGAAAGAGGGCAAAAGAAACCCACTGCGCATTAAAGGTCATTTGGAACTACCCCACTTGACTTTTACCCAAGTCGGAACTAGTAACTGAAAAGTTGTGACTGGTTTAATTCATGTCCTGACTTCGCATCAACCATTTGCTGAGGTGCTTTCCCCAGGAAGTAAGTGCACGGCTGCACGGGAGGCATATCACAAGCACAGGGTTTCACGCTTGAAGGAAGGTGCAATTACCTTTGCTCTTGATCATGAAATACACCAGCATGTTAACCAGCATTCAACGCTTAGACCGGCGCCCCTTGGCAACAACATCAGCAGCGTCCCAAAATGCAACACCTGCGTACAGGTCAGACAAACAGAGGAAAACAGCTGTGCGGTTTTTGGTTGCCCTTCCGGTGACCGATAGTGCTTAAATATAGTGTAGTTGAACATATGCGTTCATTTAAAGGGTGGGGGAAAAAATAAAGAATGTATCGTGGTATGTTCTAGTCCACATCTACAGTATCAGTCAGATAAAATCATTATGACGTTTTCTTAAGTAGACAGAAGTAACCCAACTGGTGGGTTGAGGTTGCATGCATGGGCGAGCCAGCATAATTTCCAAATCTCGAAATATTTAACCGGCGAGTAAAGCATGTGCTGTTTAAACATGTTTGAAAAAGTTTGATCAAAACTCACCAACCATGACGGTCAGAATGGCCAATATATTTTACAATTGCAGTGCAATTTCATGTAATTTCATGCAATTCCTCTGACAAAGCATGAAATGTGTGCAAGGAGCTGTAGCTGAAAATCTAACCAAAACTGTGTTGAATTGACTGAAATGACAATATGAAATGCCAATAACTAGAAGCCTGTGAAAAATATGCTCATGTTGTACAACAGCCTCTGAATATTAGTTATTGGTCTCCCTCTAAACTAATTTTCCTTATCAGAGAAAAACTCTCCTCAGCCAACCTTTCACCTATATAAACAGATCAGAAGAGGAGAAAACTCAATAAGCGGTGGCAGAGGGAAAATATCAACCTTGACCTTGTATCCCAAACAACCCGTCCCCGGCAGTGATCCCTGGCTAATGCAAACTGTGCCTGGCAGCCTGTTTATAGCAACAGCATCCATGGATGCTGATCTGCTCTCGTTGCGCCTGAAACACAGACAGTGTTTGGGAGAGCAATACACAGCAAAGATGACCGACTTTTGGATCGTGCTCAGTTACAGAGGAATGTGTCAGAAGAGTCGATAAGGTTAAGCATTCCTGTGAAGGATACATGTGTCAAGAAGGAAACATTACATGAGAGGATTTGGGGGTTAAGCAGTATATTTAATACACTGAATGCTGATTGGGCAGAGTATGTGGAAAATGTTTTTGGTGATTTAGAAGTACAACAATGTAAGGCCACTGAAAATGTGTCATGCTGCAAACAGCTAGAGAATTTGTCTAAATGTCTAACCTGGTGGACAATATTGCAATAACAAATGTAAAATTAAGGGAAAAAAAGTGATTGTTAAAAAGAAACCGTTGAGATAAACTGGATAACCCACCCTCTCCTTCGGTCCCAGACAGCATTATGGAGACACTTATACAAGGTGGATTTCGGGTTGGTTTACAAAATACCAAGACGCCCCGAAGACTTGAAACACACTTTTAGTGGTACTTATCTCATCATGTAATCATCACTGGTATGTCTGAGGAGGCAGAGGGCGATAAAGTCACAGATCGCGCAGCCGACAAGAGTGGATTGAGTACGCTGCGCAAAGAATTATAACCTGCTCAACCTTTTTCTGAACTGTGACTGCGCAGTCGTACGACAACCTGCCAGAATTGGGATCCAATTTCAGAATTAATAGTCAGGGGCAAAGCTCTTTCTGAAAGCTGCAGACACGCACTCAAAAACGCTTGTGCACGGAGTGTTACCTCGCACACTGCACACTGCACAGTTGATTTCGGTCTATGACTCATATTTACTTACAGCCTCAACCTATGCAAACAACACTACTGTAATAATGTGTCACTCATCAAATTCTCTCTCCATTTTCATCTATATCCATTTCGAAAAGAGGCACAGGAGCGTACATTTGCTGTAAAGACTGTGTCTAATAACCACCAACCGCACAACATCCTAGTAATTAATTCATTAGTCCCGTGTGTGACCGCATGAAGGTGTCTAGTCAGAAGCCGACCAGATGAGTGTCCACTGCATCCTCTATGGTTACCGGGTGTCTGTGGGTAGGATATCAGTTGGTAGACATGACCAAGGCAGGTTATGTTACACAACAGTGTGCGCTGGCTGATGACAGCCACAAACTACTGGGGACACTTGCTCCGCCAGGCTTAGTCACACATGGACCACATGACGTCATCTAGGCAACTTTTAGAGGGACAATGCCACACCTTTCCATCGAAACGTGTGGCATTCCAATGTTTTCATGAGTTTGAAAGCGCTTAGAAGACATGAAGTTGAAGTGCTGCTGTCTTGTACAATCGTGTCACAGGTCTTCAAAGTTAGAAACCAGCTACTTCCTCATATGTTTCGCTTACTTTGACCTGAATCCTGCTTCCTAGCCAAGTCAGGCTATATTGACAGCTGTTACGCAGCTTCAGGGGGTGACAATAATTACAGGTAGGGAGGCAGTGTCTTGCTTTGTAGCTCGGAGGAGGAACATAAGAGCATCTGGAGGGTTGGGAGCAACATTTCTGACCCCACGATCATAAAAAAAACAAGGTGCAACAAGTTGAACCTGCAGGGATACTCACAAATTTCTTCTTCCCTTCTCCATCCTCATAGTTCTTCTTTGGCTTCTTGTCCTTCTTGGGACCAGATGCCGAGGCAGAGCTCCCCGTGTTCGGATCCATGGTTATAACTTAATCCGTGTCTTTGAATTGGTTGTGCGAATAAACCCGTGTGGCGGTAATCTCCCTTCGCTCAAACGTAAAAATGACGGGGTTTTTTTTAAACTTTTGCGAAGAAAAAAAGCCAACCGTGTATTCCCCCGGGGCCTTGGCTAGTAACTTTGGCTAACTTAGCCACAATTAGCACAAGGTTGCTAATGAGTTGGTGGAGAGCCAAGCAGGCTACGCCGAACGAGCCCCTCCGTATCACTGAAGGAGGGAAATTCAAAGCACAGCCCCACGTCCTCGGGACGTAAAGTATGAAAACAGTATGTGGCGTCAATATAATACAACCGAGGACTTATTCTACCGGTAGAGTTATCCGTGTGAAACACAACCCAAAGCTTTGTGAAACAACGTCAATTTTAGGTCCCGAAAATTAGCGGTAGTAACTGAGCTACCCGTTAGCTTTAGCTAAGCTAGCTCGTCTGACTGACTACACAAGGCAAAGTCTCCGTGGAGAGAAAAACAAACAAAAAAACTCCGCTCTTCCCACTTCCACGAGTTATTTCGGCGACTTATAACGCGGATGACTCGGCGCGACTGCGTCTCATAAATTCGTCTCCATGACTGCTACAAGTTTGTTTAACTTTTGAACCCCCCCGTGTGACAGGGGAAGCGGCGCTGCGTCTCTAGGTGCGGAGGAGTCTTCCTGTTCTTCTGACAGGCCGGTCGGAGCTGGTTGGGGGGAGGAGCCTGCGCTCTGCGGCAGCTCGACACCTGAGCGGATTTAACGCCGCAGACCGTTCGGCCCAACCGCGCTGAGCTGCGGGCCCGCGGGTCATCGGAGCTCCGCGGCACCTGTTAACCAGCGGTGATGCGAGGAGGACGAGCGCTTACTAGTTCGGTCTCTCACGGCCCAAAGGTGCGGTGACGTCAGGACAGTAGGAACTGTGCACGTCTTCCCGTGCAAACTGAAAACGTCTTTGATGAGAGGACAACATGGCCCATTAAAATAAACAAATGATTAAATAGATCCATTAATGTATGTTTGGGAATTTATATAATATATAGTATTCAATATATATATACATAGATATAAATACATATTCCTTCATATATAACTTATCTCCTCTTATTCTCTATAATGCTATCCCCAAATTGAGTTTTAACATTCTAGTAATTGTTAGCATTCATTGGCCATTTGAGTAACATGCATTCAAAAAGTTGGCGTAGTTCCCCTTTAACAGTAATTCTGACGTCACAATGTTTGTTATGGTCTAGAATCGAAAATCCTGAAAGAAAAAAAAAACACACGGTCAAGTCATAAGTCAAAGGAGCAATACCGCGCCACTAGGAGCCAGTAAAGTCAAATGTATCTGAATGTTCATAACAACTACTGGTATAGCTAATGTGGAGTTATGAGGGATATTAAAATAACCCGTGTCACAGATGTTTAACCCTCCTATCAATTTGACCCCATTCAATGTTTAACGTCTCTAAATAGATGATCATTTAGACATCATTTTTTTTTGCTTCAAATTTGATGAATTTTCCTAATTTAACGGGGACAACTGGGTAAACATAAAATTAACATGATGATATGTTTTCAATGTCCTGTACACATGTTGTACGCATCGGTGTTCTTCGGGGTCAATTTGACCCCAGGCCGCTTTAGCCGTGTAAAACTAATAAGGTCGTCCACAGGTCAGACACAAAATCCGCACCTGCAAACCCAAGCACTCTCCATTCAGACACCAAAGACTACACACTCCTTGATATTGCAGAGGCCATCCATCTCATATCTGGAAAGGGAGTCGGCTGAAGCGAGATCTTACTTGTGTAACTGGGACAATCATTATTATTGTGTGGAGCACGGACTATTGAACCTGAAAGTTGGAGTTGGGCCTTTAACAATGAAAAACACAAAAAAAATAAGTGAATGAAACACTTTTTGGGGGTCAAATATACATTTTGATTCAGTTGTTAGATTTTTGGAATAAAATATATATTTTCATTCTTCACATACCACATTTTTTCTATTTTGTATACGTGAAGCTTCGACCTACATGAAGTGGGCACTTTGTCATTGCACACTGTTATCAAACTGTCCAAGCGACCTCGGGGCGCCACCAAGTGGTGGAAGTCGTCTCACTCAGCGTTATATCCAGAAAAGTTAATGTTCCTTAAGGAAGCAATTGTGACGTTTTTATTCTCTAAAATACCGATGCAATTTACATAGGGTGGTGGTAAGATTTTTAGTGAAAGAAGATCAAAATATACACGGCAACTGATTTAACAAGGCACATGTTGTTCTGAATTTGCTGACCCAATTGTAAGCGGAAGATCATCCAAAACAGTAGTTGGTCTGTGATTTATGAATTCACCAATCAATGCAGATGTAGTTTTATCGCTTGCAATGCTTCTCCGATTCCAAGACAAACAACTGTGTTTCTACACTTTAAATGCAAAATGTATTTTCCACTAAGCTGGGCGCACACACGACCACGCACAGGATTATAGAGATAGGCTCATATCTGACTTGGTTTGGGGGAGAAGTTTCCAACAACACGATTGGAGAGGTTTTGTGCAAAACAGTTTAGTTTATCGCAAAAGTCTCATCATAAACTGCAGCCTCAGGTCTTCATTCTCTCTTGTGTTAATTGTGGGGGAGAGGTTAATTAAAAATGAAAATGCACTGTAGGACTAACCACCATGAATAACGGTTGGACCATCGCATCAACAGCTATTTTCAGCATCGCCACTAACAAGCAGGTGCAGAGATGAAGAGACACTTAAAGTACATTTAAATATCTTTATGTGACATTATAGAAACAGTCTGTAATTGAATCAGCATTTTACATGGACAAAAGGGCGTTGTGCGTTGATTGTTTCATTTCACGAGACAAGACGGTTAAGTTACAGTCATAGAAAATGTTGAATATACGCCACCTACTGTATACGCTCTCTGTTGCAGTACGCCACGTTTACGTGAACAAAAAGAAGAAGCTGAAACCTGTCTGGGCCAGTGAGAAATACAGCAAATTTAGACTCCAATTCAGGGAGATGAATCAACACAAGTTTGCGAATATGCTGTAAAGGGATATATATCATTTCTTTCCAAAGTGCAATACGGGGATGATGAGTTGTTTACAGGGCGTGATGGATTGTTTCACATTGTATTCATTAATCACCCAAAATAGGCGCCCTAAATTGAGCAGGAGTTATAGTCTAATGTTATGTTGCCATCTGGAGCTATTCAGCTTCCCAAATGCCCCCCATGGTCCGAAGAGCCATATATCTCGGAGGGTGTACAGGCCCCGACGTGGAAGATGTGTGCAACATTTCACTCACCGAGGCACTGCCTAATCAATGTGTCCAAGACAACTATTAAAGGCAAACCACATGATTCCAGCAGCAGCAGTTCAAGGAGACCAGTCAGTCCTTCAACCCCCGCACAGGAGTCTCTCTAAAGGTCACAGAGATTGGCCTGGGTTGGTTGGGGGGGGGTCTCACTTGTAGGAGCTCCGGGCCTCTCTCAACGACCTGTCATATGGCATGGAGGCGAAGAAAGAGTTCCGCAGCTGGCAGTTGATGAAGAACACGATGAGCAGCACCAACAGGAAGAGCAGCAGGCACATCACTATGTAGGTGGTCAGGTCCGGCTTGTGGAGCTCGCCCTCCCGGAGGCCCCCTCCCCCTCGCCCCGCGGTGGGTCTCAGGAGAGCGGCGACGCTCACCGAACCGCCGTGGGAGGCGTTCATGGAGGAGGGGGCGTGCGTGGAGGACTGGGCCACGAGTGCCAGGTGGAAGTCTGAGGTGTCGGTGGAGTTGAGGAGCATCTGCCTCAGCATGGCGCCCCGCGGGTTCACCGGCTGCCTCGGTCGGCAGGGGGAGGTTATGTAGCCAACTAACCCCGCGTCTGTTCAGTCTGGGTGTGTGTCCTATCTCTGATGCACCGATCAAGAAGAATCAGCAGGGATACCTGTGTGATACAAAACCCAGTCATGCCATTGCACCCAGAATACTTCAATGTCTGACAAGGTCACTGCCCAGGGTCTAAAAAAAACCCTATAAACAAATCACGTCACAGCGATGTCATAAGTGGTCTTGGTGTTGCATAAAATAAATATTCTAGATAAAGCACCTGGAATACAAAACAATTCAACAAATTATCATTAGAAGGAATGACTCAAGGAATGACTTACTTTGGTTTGCGCTGCGAAGAGTTCCGCAGGTGAGCTGAAAAACAAAACAAGGTCCCGGCTCCGCATCCCTCAGCGCGCCGGCTCTTTCCCCTCCAGCCCCGCGGAGGACGAGCTGAGGAAGAGCGGTGACTTTACAGCCTCAAACCTACGACCGCAGACGACGAGTTTCTAAATTGGATTATTATGAACAGAGCTGATATTAAACGGAACGCATCCGATTCCACGTGTCAGCGCAGATTAGGGTCCGGATGAAACAGCACAATACCCAAATTCCACTTTTTTTGGCGGATAAATCCAAACTGTCTCGCTACTTGCAGGGTAAAGCACCGACTGGACCGATATCTGATCCGGTCCGCCAGAGGTTCGTGAAGTTCAACGAAGATCTCCGGTGCGCAATGAAACAAGGTCTCTCTCTTCCTTGTGCGTACAGGGCGCAGAGGAAGGACACGCCGGAACCCCCGCGTCTCCAAACCTTTGCTCCTTCTGTTTTTTTTCTTCTTCCAGCAAAGCGTCGATACGTGTCGGACAGATGTGACCGACGGCCTCTCTGACCTGACGGGATTATCGATCCACTGCACCTAACATTTGAGGAAAGGAGGGACTGAGGAAGGACAAGACGCAGCAGCACATTGGGTCGTGAACAGCATTACATCTTGCCCCCGTATTCTATGACAATGTGACAAAGCGAGAGAGAGGGGGAGGGGGGAGAGAGAGAGGGAGAGAGAGGGAGGGAAGAATGCACGTCACCGGGGTGGTGTGGCTGTAAAGAGAGAAACCGACACATCAAAAGTCCCGTCCAATTATCCATCGGCCCATATATCTATCACTCTATACAGCAATTCAAAGCAATGAGAGAAAGTTCATGGTCCATTGTCCATTTTCTGGGTCCTTGTGTGGAATGTCTCACTCTGGGGTGAGATCGGAAAAGGGTGCGAGATTGGTGAGTGGGTGTAAAAGCTCATAGGTGGGGATACGTTTGAGAAATGATCAACCAGGAGGTCTTTTGTCTGAGTCTTATAGTTTGTGACTCATCTTGGGTTCACATCCTTTTGGAAATATTGAAAGGACATTAAAAATGACTCTGCATCTCACATGAACATGGTGTTTTGTTTGCAACATGTGTGTCCTCTGTGAAAGTGATTTGACAGTGGTGCTGTGCTACGGACACCAACAAGAAGGTGCTTAGGGTGGAGACGGGAAACCAGTTGCTTTGGACATGAGCATGCATACGAAGGGCTGGAGCCTAAAAGCTCTGTTTCATATATGTGCACATGTTCTGTGTGCAAGCCGGCAGGGTCCTGGCGTCCTGCATCAGCTCCATTCAACAATAAAGAGGATTACAGTGGACGTGGTTACGGGGAAATGTGCACGTCACATGGGACATCTAAAAACAGCCAGAAGCCTTGTTTACAATCGTGGAGGGACGTCAGTAATTTTGGCGGCTAAGGAGTTTACCTTTCATTATTGAGTTTTAGTGGCACTCGTTGGCTGCTTTGCTCAGGGCTTGCTGCTGTCCTCATTCACATCATGCACACACACACACACACACACACACACACACACACACACACACACACACACACACACACACACACACACACACACACACAAAGGCAAATCTAAAGACACACCATCCGACCCAATTTGCAGAAATGTGAGGGATGTCGCTATAACAGATTTAACAAAATCATGTGATGCAGTGAAGTTTAAATAAATAGAGGAAAGGTATAGAGAAGGATTAGAATAAACCATGACGTACATATCTATCAATGACCTTTCACCATGTTTGTGTCATACATACAGATGGTAACACACCAGACTGTGCACACCACCATGTACTGTCGATCTCGTCCCCTCATTGCTCTGTTGGGAGGTACGTCTCTCTCACTTCTCTTTGGGTGCGTTCCCCTTCTCCTCCTTCACTCAGTTTCCTTCTCTTGCTGTTTCTTAATCCTTTTAATCCATAAAAAAAGCGGGAAAAAAGACAACCCATCCATAAAGCACCGTGAGCTGAAAATTAGGATAAACAAAAAAACTAAAATTTGTGCGATTTCTTTTTTTCTGAGTTTGATAATGTCAATTTCACAGAAATGACGGCAAAGCTTAAAAGAGGCTTAATGTTTCCTGCTGATGAGACATAACCAAAGCAAATGGCAGGTCTGCAAGTGAACAGGGATTATGTATGTGTGGCCTACACACACCGACCACTTTTCTCCTCTCTCATTTATGCGCGCCCTCTGTGACAAAACCCACGATGGCGTACACTCCTCTCCGCCGTCGACTCGAGACGTGGCACTGCTCAGGGGTTGTAATATTATTACTCTTGACCTCCATTATTTCTAGGAGGAACAAGGATCAATGCTTTGAACGTCTTCTTTAAAAGCCTTTTGCCGCAGTTTTTCAAATTACAGTTTCAGTCACCTCAAATGATATCATGTCAAGTGTGCTCGAAGTGAAGTGCACAATCTTAATCTATGGTACTTAGCACTCACAGCAGTGAGTTCCTCAGGCATTGGTGCTGATCCCTTTGAGGCAACTTGATTTCTTGATTCCACTGTGTTTATTCATTTCTTTCGTCACAAAAAACTAGTATTCTTTTGTAGCATTTTGAGGCTCCGCTGGCAGAATGGCCCATAGAAAAAACAATTCCACCAAAGCTTCGAAAGGATCAATGACAAATATTTCTAAACCTTCCACTTAATCACCTCTTGCTTAAAAAGACAGATGCAAGAGAAAAGACCCACACTTAGACATACGGTAGCATCTGATAACTGTTATACTCCCAGACGCTCTCCAGACAAAAACAGAAAAAAGCCAGTGAGAGACAGATTACGAGACCGCTGATGTGCAAACTCCTGCTTATGTGCACACAAACAGACTCACAGGGGACGTTTGGCATGCATTAACCCCAAGCCATCTTATATACACACACAAACTAAGACAGAGCTGCACACTTACATAAGAAGGGACAGACAGTGAAAGGGAAAGAACACATGCTGACACACTGAAACTAACACAACACACTCCTACACAAGCTAGCACATGCCTGAGTCTTGTTCTCTAATGGCTACAGAAGCAGCTAGGACTGCTTTATATATCTTTCCTCAATACAATTCCCTTTTCTCTATCACCGATCGTCAACCATTAAAAAAATGCAAATGTCTTCCTCTCTCGTTTTCTGTAATTGTGTTAATTCTTACCGTCTAACCAGCCTGAAAGTCTCCTCTTTCACCTCCATGGGAAAAGGCAACCAGCAAAATAGGATTTCTGCCTGCCAGCAGCATAAAACGCACCCTTTGGCAGAAATCAGACACTCTACATGTAGTCACTTGATTATCTCGGCAGAACACCGAATGCTGCTCATCATCTCAGGGAGGAATTAAAGGCTTTTTCCTGCTCTCAAAGTAAAAATTACAGACGTATACTCAAAAGGAGCAGGAACGGTCTTGCAACCAACAAAACACATACGTACAGAGACCTTCACATTTAAAAATGGTATATGCAGCAAATATGCACATTGCATGGATTCAAATCATTTATTTTGGTGAACAGTTGATTGAAACCTATAGCAGATATACTGTATGCTGCCACAAATAAAGGAGAATAAGTATTTAAATTTAGGTTTGATTGAATCTATTTTCTTTTCTATACTCTATTTTGCTGTAGCGTAGGATAAAGTACACTTTAATATTTGATTTGGCGGCGTGCGGCTCAGATCTCAAACCGGCCTCTCAAACCAAGCAGGATCAGCCAGCACTGAACACCAGCGCGTATCAGAATGTGATCAGGGCAGAAAACCAAACAAATAATAAGAAGAGCAGAAAAGACAATCCTATTTTTCTCTGTTTCTTTGTTGTGTTCAGGATCAGCGAAGGGAAGAGCTGCCCCGGCTAAATTGGCGCTGGTTTGAGCGTGTGCAGGGCCTCTGGTCCAGCAGACACTCACCCAAGAAGCCACAGGAGGACCGCAGGACGTGTGCAGTGTTGGAGAGGCAGATTACTGGATGACACAGGGAAGCCAGTCTGGATGAGCAGGGGAGCAAAACAAACCGGAAGGAGCTTATAGTCAAGAGCACCGTGGAGGTCAAGGCCACCTGTGATTCGAGCAACACCAGAGTGAGGATGCAGAATAAAACATGGAAATAATATAGACGGAGACAAACAGAGAGTGACGGAGCAGTAAATAGTCGCAGATTGAAAAGACGGAGAAACAAACACAGAGCGGCCAGTTGGGACAGTGAGGGGAGGGGGGGGGGGGGGGGGGTGAAGCCAACCGAAGACCGAGCAGAATAAAGGAAAAACTTGCTCAGAGAAGCCAAAGAAGAAGCTGGCGCCACAGCTATGGTTGGCCCATAAAAGGGAAACTTATGTTGTTAGGTACATAAACCAAGCTGGTGAGAAAATGTTGCTGTATTATGACAAGCAGCAGCGCTGAGGTCGTTATAAACATAACTTCCTCTGCACGTCTCACTCATTCTCCTTTCACGCTCGCACTCTCACACAGCGTGAATGGGAGAGCGTTCGGAATGCAGTAAATGTTGTAGCAGTTCCTGTACAGCACATCATATCCATTATTCACAGCTCTCGGTGACACAGAGATGAAAATTGCAAAAGCGGATGTGATGGGTAAACACCGAGGATGACAATGATGACGGTGCATCGCATTGACCGGTAATGGAAAATGACTTCAAGGATGATGAAGTTAAGGAATGCTGTGACACAAAATTGAAAAGTACAGAATATGACGATGATATAGTGAGTGATGCGCCGAAAACGTACGCCGTCTAATTCTGTGTTTTGAACAGGCTGCGTGGATAACCATTGTGTAATTAGCTGATCAGTGCATCTGCTGTGCTTTCACATGATTAAGCTGACTATTTGAAATGTTATGCTCTCTATTGAGATTCATTGTGTTGAGGTGCTGCGATGTCCTTAGAGGAAATGCTTAGATCAATTCTTCTTATTTGGAGATAATTTGTCTGTTGAGTTTTAGGATCAATCATGCTTTAAACTAACTAAATCAGTTGTGGCCTCTGAAGAAGTAGCTACTCTGTTGGAGATTTGAAAAGCAGAATACAACTGTAAAGTTGTAAAAAATCGACCCACCGATTCTGATTCAGCCTAAATCAGTGACACGTATCAATGGAGAAATTCAAATGGATGTAATTGGGCCTTGGACAAGGTTAAACAGCAGGTCAAACACTGTGTGCTGCTTGATTACAACAATCTGCATCAAGCTGTAAATTACTCCCACCCCATAATGCACAATATTCATTGTCTCAAACCTGCTCTCATTGCCTCATGAGAGTAGAAACTATTCTCTGACACCAATAAAGGACTTTTTTTCCCAGTGCAATGAAAGTGATGATGATGATAATACAGGTTTATATTTCTATATCCTTGGTTAGAGATGGATGCGCACATGACACATCTATCTCCACTTGAGGATCGTGGGTTCACTCGTGGCTGCCTGCTCTCTCCTTCCTCAGCGCCGAAATAAAGGCCAAGTCGAGCCACCTGGAGGGCTTGTCAGCGAGTTGTCATATTGATCTCATCGTCCATCTTGAACCAGTGTGCTGCGGCTTTTGACAAATTAGTTTACACTCTACAAGTGTACAGTCTTTTCTTCTGAGAGCCCACCCGGTCGTCCTTTATCAGCCCTCCGACTGCTCCAGAAATTAGATATTGGCCTTCCGCCAATGACGGGCACGCAGGAATGTCTCAGCACGGTGGAATTTTGATTTCTTTACAGGCTGTCGTTTTGAGAGGTGAAAGATGGTTTGGAGCATGCTAGATGATATTCTTAAGAGTATGACAAAAGTGGCTGATAATCAGTTCGGCATGGCTTTGATTGTAAGACGGCTTCAGCTTTATGCTCTAGAAATCTCCTGATTAGTTCCTCTCCACACAGCTTCAATCAAAGGAGATACTGTGATGAGAGAGAGAAGACTCAAGGGCGTGATTAATGCCTTGTGATAGGAGCTCTATCTGTGTGTGTGTGTGTGTGTGCAAATGTGACATGTTAAGAGCCACAGTAAGACTTGAACTTTAAGTGTCAATGCATCCATTATTATGTTACCACAAGTTTTAATTGGTTTTAGTGCAACAACTTACCATTCACCATTTGAATGTAAGTGTTTCACAGACAGCCTGGTGTATGAGCGTGCATGCATATGTGAGTATTCACGGCTAGGTGAGTGTGTAATTTGTGCAGGGTACGTGTTGAACCTTCTAGCCATGTATGTTTGTGTTTGTATAAACAGCGAAGCAGCGCACTGGTTTGTCTCCTGGGGGGGGTGGGAGCATTCAGGCAGTAGGCGGGAGGCGTGTTGGAGAGGGAGGCTAATCTCTTCTCCAAATCCCCGGAATCCCTGTCTTTCAGAGGCAAAAGGCCACATTGCTCACTGCTCCGCCAGGAGATGCAGCAACCGAGAGAGGCAGATGGAGGAGGCGAAAAGGATGGAGAGGCAGGCAAGATGAAAAGGAGGTTAAAGAGGAGGAGAGATGGAGGGACGGCTGGAAACCATTCCTTGCATTGGGCGTCTGCAAATGACACCACTTGGTTGGTCTAAAACACACACAGTGTTCCGTGGTTGCAAATACACGCTCAATTCTCTTTCACACAAAGGAGAATACACTTCCAAAAGATTTTATCTGTGTATAAAACTGACAGAACGCAAACACATGTTCAGCACAAATAGACACACACACCAGTGTGTTATTGAGCAAAGGCCCAAACTCCTATCAAAAGTCTGCAGGAGAGTTCTGAAGGAGTTCAGATAATATAATTTCCTGTTTTCAAAAGCTCCCTCGGACTGATTTTGTTACTGTGGCGATAGTCCAGAAATGCTCGGCTATTGTTCACGTGTGCTGTACGGCATTTTATGGGTTGAATTAGTTTTTCTTTCTCTTTTTTTTAGACAGTGTTTTGGCATTTATTCTGCCTTACTGGTGTACACAAATGGTGATTTATGGGAAGAGTGGAGGAAACGGAGGGCAAGCAAGATTATAACCCAGACTTAACAACTTGATGAGAAGAGAGAGGATGCTCTCCTGGGTGTACTCAAGCCTGTAATTGTTATTTCAGAGTTTTCCCTTAAGCATATGCTTGGCAACTATCAAAAAATACAAAACAGGAAATAAGAAATGGGCTGTATTTATCTCCACGGGCGCCATGTTTCTATAGGAGCAGAGAGAGAAATAAATAAACACCAACTGTCCAACAAAGCACCAACATTTTCATGTTTTCACATTTTCTCTTCAGAAACCTCTTCTGTCACCCAGAAGAGGTTGTGATTGGTTGCAACCTTGAAGCTAGAAGCCACCACATCCAACAAACTACAACTTAAAAGATGACCACATGAGGTCATCTTTATGCAGAACTTACATTCGTTCTTTGTCCTTACATAGAACAAAAAAAGGTCTTTCAGGGACAGTCTGAAACCATTCAGTCCGAGTGGTGAATAAATGGTATGGAGCAAGTGAGGGATGATACATCTGTGGACATATGTTAGTAAGCAGTGTTTGCCTGACTATAACACTCCACCGGTCACTCCCCCTCATACTGCACATGTCACTTTAACTGCAATTCATCACTTTGTCACTTGTCACTTTGTCTCTTGTCTGTTACTTGTTTGTTAGTGCACTTTATGCTTAACTTTTCTTTTTAACTTTTTAATATTTAAAATTTGTTTAACTTTATTCCCTTGTTTTTTTTACTAACCCATAGCCTTAGCCTTATTCTTACTAACCCATTGCATTAGCATTTCATTCCACTTTATTTTATTACCTGTGCACTGTTGTCTTGTCTGTCTACTGTCGCGCACTAACCGCCAAGACAAATTCCATGTTTGTTTGACATATTTTGGCCAATAAATGTTTCCTGATTCCTGATTCCTGATTCCTGGTTTGCAGTGCTGCTTCATAGGGCAGCTTTCGGGGAGTCTCTAACACACATAAGTGTGTGGGCCAGGTCCACACACACAGGTGCATGAGGAGCACACGTGCACAGACTCACAGGAAGACAGATGTCCCAATCGGAGAGGGCCTGCTTTGGGCTTTTAAGGCTCTTTAGTTAATGCCACTGTTGAGTCTGCAGCGCGGTAACCTCATGTAATCAGATGGAGATCAGTTCATGTGTAAGTAGAGTACCGGCAGCCTGGCTGTGTGCTTCGTTTTAAAGGAACATTGTTTGAGCTTCTGAGTATCTAGAGCCTTTGTTCAGTTATTTCTTGGAGCCATTTGTACTATTCTACGTCCCTGATAGAAAAACATTTTGTATTGTTTTTTGGATTTTGTCACAGATTGTTAAAATAAGAACAGTTGCATCTTTTAAATCCCATATGTGAAATTGGCTAATAAAAAATGCTGCACATGCTGGTTTATGTAAAAAAAACTAAAATCAATGACTCAATACAAATTTTGTGCCACGTTTTTATTATTGCGTTATCTGCAAAAGTGTAGTTGTAGGAAAATGCATTTTGAATGTGACTTTTTAAAATGTATATACAGTATTAAGTGTGACGTTTGTAAGAAGGCGTTTTGAATGTGCAACTGTTATTGTAAAGTGAGTGTGTTGTGTTTGCATGAAACCAGGACTGAGAGATGGCTGTAACAATTGGTAAAAGACAACTGTAAAAACGGCAGTACTATAAATTGTTTTAATGTGTGAAGCGTACACGCAGTGCAGTTTGGGTCATCCCACTGCTTAAATATTTGGGCATTAGTTCTGAGTGTGTGTGTGTGTGCGTGTGTGTGTGCATACCATCGCTTGAGTGCAGAGTAATGCTCCAATTACTTGTTGGTTCCGCTCCAGTACCTGCCATCAGCTGAGTGCCACTAATGGGGACCAACACTGAATATTTAGACTCATGGAATATAATCAAACTCCACTAATGGGCAAAAACATACACAACGATCCAGTCATTAAACAGCCTGTTCAGAGCGTAATGTCTTTAATTCAAGGATCAAAAATAGAACAATACACAGTAGAAGATTTTGCATTAATCAATATTTCTTCTAAACACGTGAAAAATACAGTATTTCAGTAAACTTTGTGTTTAAAGGAGGGGGAATCAATAAACCTTCTCTGGGAGTCTGCTCATTCATAGTCTGGGTCTGCACACAGAAAATAATTGGCTGCTCTTTTACTCTCTGTCACAGTAAAAATAAACATGTCCCACTCTACTATACTGAAATTATTCTGAAATAATTTGTGTACCTAAATCAAAACACGCCCACTATATGTTTCTCATAAGTTAACCTTTTCAATTGTATTTCAGGTCTAATGATAGAAAATTTAATTCAACTCTATTTCAATGCTAAAAAATGTTCAAGGGGCTTACTCCACCTACTAGTTAACTTTTACCTTCAGACGCTTTAATAACAACAAAGTGTTTAAATATTTAGATACATTTGTTATGGCAGTAACTTATTTCATAGTAGCTCTGTACTAGTTAATGATTTTAGGATGAAAAAGGTCTGACACCAGTTGCAGTGCGAGTCTTTTAAATATGTTAACAAGAGCGCATCTTTCCTTATGCCAACAACATTATGAGCCAAATCATCGATCCAAGCTGTCGATGGCATGTAAAATACCCAAACCGTCTCATTTATGAACTGTATAAATGAGCACAATATATTTGGAGACCTGCATTGTGGATGCTGCCGTTTCCCAGTGGGGAAAACATGTCAGGCCATTGAATAAGAAACAGCGTTAGAGAAACTACTGAAGCATGCACACTAGAAATATAATAGTCTGAGAAATCTCCTTCAAGTTGCTCGATCTTGATGCTGTACCGGTTTAGAGACCGAACGCACGCACCAGAAATAATGGGAAAGTTGCCATTTTTCGTTGTCAAAATCCCAAATTGGCTGCAGTTACATGACGGACAGTTAATATGGACGATCAAAATAATCTATTGTATTAGCATTGTATTTGTATTTAGATATGATTCTACATTTTACAATAAAAACACACTTAAAACTTTGGTGGGCCGAATTAGCAGTTTGTTAAACTCCATTATCACTGGATCACATTTTCTCTATTAGTTAAAGAAACTTTTCTCAATGAAGCTCTGGCTCACATGGCGTCTGCAGTAGAATTCAGGCGTTTTATAACCCATTGATTGCACGACTGTTCCATATCTGTGTATCTCTCACGTTTTCTCATGTCACATATGTGTGGTTGCCCTAAAGCGAACTCAGAGAGTTTGTCTTCCTTTATGGGCTAATAATCATCACTGACCTCCTGCGTTTTTAAGCTGTAATCATAACTTCCCGAGGTCATGTCACGTCTTTGCTACCATTTTAGAAAACACTTTGAACCGCAAAGGCACAACGAAAAGGAGAACACCCACGAACGATTATCTAAACCTGTCCAATCATTTTTTTGTCTTAAAGGTCCAATGTACATGAGACCTGGACTTTAAACAAAGTGGGACACGTATCCTGTCTTTCCATCATGTATTTGCTACTCATTAATGATCCAATCCTTATTTAGTACTTTTTATTTAGATAATTCTGACTGAGGTAAACTACTTACTGTAATGACATCGACACTTTTGCCCTTTTTAGGAGCTCTACGAAGTCGATTTCTACTAACATAAAATAATTGAGACAGTTGACGAGGTACTAAAGGCCTTACTGCACACCGTGTGCTGTGTGCATATACAAAGGTCACTGGCTGACTTTTAGGAGAGAGCTTTAATGACTTTCAAATGAGTGGATAAGTCCTACACGGTTTCCTTTTCCTGAATCATCTGACCCCTGATCAAGTTGTGCATCATGGATGGAAATGCATTAATTAGATAGCCTAGTGCGCCGAGGAGAGCACAGTATCTCGACAGGCGTCCCAACAAAGTGAAGACATAGAAGCAAATCTTTCGACCCCCTGAAGACGTCGCCATTTTATTAGAACTGGAACGCCAACATAAACCCCTTCGACTGAGTTTGTTTCACCTCTGAACCGTCAACCTCATGCTCTCGTGCTGTCGCGGATATGTTCTTGGCACGTTCCTCCTTAGTTGGACCATTGCGTAATACGAAACCCGCTTCTCAAAAAGTTTATTTCTCTCCCGCTTTCCCTCCACTTTCTTGTCTGTATATCTTATAAACATCCTGCCTCCCTTTCCCCCCCTCGCACTGCTCTCTGCCTCCGCCTCCTCCCGTGTTCACCCTCTTTCATATCTTCCTCCCCCCTCCTCCCTCCCCTCTCGCTCCTTCTTGCGAGTCCTGTCAGTGTCTCGCGGTGGTCTTGCCAAACTTGTCGCCAAGTTGTTGGATGAGTAGACCCAGCTCTCCGGCGGCATCGGACTTCTCCTCCAGGAGCTCATAACGGAGGCTGGAAATGTCTTGTTTGATCTCCTTCAGCTCACCTACGACAGAGTCACCCACGGACAGTCAGGGAATGTGAACACGAGCAAATGCAGACGCATGCGGGTAAGCCCCGATCTGCACGTCGTAAACCGGGCTACAACTGACACGTGTGAGTACTTGCAGTCATGGAGCAGATGCAATAATATACAAACCTCATTTTATGGACTTCAGCTCACATGCACTGTGCAAATAATGACGCAATGAGAGTGTGAAGGGGACGTTTGTACCTTCATTGACTTCGTCGCTCTCTCTGTCCACTTGGGCCTTCAGCACGTACCTCTTAGTCAGGCGTTTCATGATATTCTAAGAGACGGAGAGGAAAAGAGATTAAATAGAGAAAAGGTGATCTCTGCCTGTAGCTACTCTGCCTGAGTGTTTACCTCTCACCACACGTACAAGTGTCTTATCAACTGACATCTACAGGCCTGCCTTATGCGAGAGAACCCACACAAGGGTTGCAACGACGAGGGTTGGGAGAAAATAGCAATGGACTTGTGAAGGCCATTAGGATTCCCTTTGGGGAAAAGGTGATGGGCAGACTCAGGAGGGGAGCATCTCTTCCCTTTCTCCGCGTGATACTTTGAGCTCATTTATGGAGAGTCTGCCTTCCGTCTCCGTCAAACAGCTCATTAGAGGCATTTTCAGACTCTGCTCAGTGTCTCTCCCTCTTTTAGTCCTTCCTTTTCTCGCTCTTTTACTTGCAATCACTCGTTCAATCCCGCTTCCTTTTCAGTCGATGCCCTTTCATACAATACAATACAAAAAAGTGTCTCCAGCTCATCTCCATACCTCACTCCTTCTTACCTCTTTCTACCCATTCATTTTCTCCAGCTCTCTTCTGTCATCCTGTATCACCCTCCAGGCACTGATGTTTTTTTTTACGTTTGATTAAAAACTTTCTGAGATTCTTCGGTGCTCGACGTCATCTTCGCTCCACCCATCCTCGACCCCCGTGTCTTACCTGGTATCTGGTCGGGTGTTCTCTCGGTTTTCTGGGGATGAACTCTTCTCCCGGGCGTGGAAAAGTCCTGAGGCGTTCATCCTGTTTGAACAGTGAGATAGGAACAACAGTCCAGTGTTACCGTCACATTTCAGGGTTGAGGGATCTTCGATAATAAAAGTATTTGTGGGTGCTGGTGGAGGCAACAATGGCAGAACAAAACAACGATGAAAAGAAGGTGCTGACAGATGTCTTCAAAGAGAAGGGAAATTGTTGTGTATTGATCTTAAGTTTGTCCCTACGGGGCATCCATATAAAAGAGGGAACCGGCACTGGATGCGGGGTATTTGTTTGTGTCACGCAACGTCCATTAAAAGTACACGCATTACTTTTCTATCGAGTCTCATGTCTGATCCTTTTGACGTGTTTGTCGAGTCCGCGACACAACAAAACTGGCGACGAGAATGGGATGTTCTCACACATTATTCTCGGTGAAAAGTCTGAGTTTAATATATATATTTTTTTTCTGAGCGGCACGAAGACGCGGAAAAGACTAGGAGGCGGTGAGTTAAGCTAACCGGCGTTAGCTTCCAACGGCACGTCGGCGGGACAGGAAGAGTTCGCCGAGGGAGAAAAAAGCGGAATCTCCGAGTGTTGAACGACAAAGGGAAGTGAGTAAAGTGATGCAATGGCGGCTCCGATTGGAAACATGGGACCATTTGATGAATCTGTGGAACAATGGAGTTCGTACACGGAACGTTTTGAGTACTTTGTGTTAGCTAATAGCATCAAGTCGGAGGTGATTGTGCCAACGTTTTTGACTGTCATGGGAGGAAAAACGTTTAATCTACTGCGCAACCTAGTAACACCTGAGAAGCCCGGTGACAGAAGCTATGAGGAAATAGTGGGAACTTTGAAAGCACATTATTCTCCCAAACCTCTGATCATTGCTGAGAGATTCCGTCCGAGAGTCCGCGACACAACAGAAATGAACATTATCAGTTCTCCAGTGTGAATCTCTATCAACTCAGTTCTAAGTTTCCTCTAAGTCCACGACCTTGCCCTGTGGACGCAACTAACTCCTGTTGAATATGCACCAACCCTACGGAGGCGTTGAGCTTTTAAGAACATACATACAAATAAATAACATGCATTTTTCATGTGCCTTTCCTTCACATTGAAAATTGCCCGCTGAGGTGCTTCGGGCCTCTGATCTGGATCTCCTGGACGCTCCCTTCAGATTTTTTTTGTGTACATCTCGCAGGTAAGACAACCAGAGGTCCAACCGAAAACAGTTGAGCGAGAATACATCTCATCTTGCCTGGGAACGCCTCGGGTTTCCCCAGGATGACCTGGTCAGCGTGGCTGGCCAGAGGGATGTTAGAAAAACCTGAATAACCTCAGAATACGCACAAGAAAGTTGATAGATGGAAAATATTGCTGAAGTTCATGATACAACACTCTAACCCACAGCATGCGGCCTACTAACAGAACCAATCATCACTGAGAAAAGAAACCATTAAGGGAGGCATTGTACGGTTCTCGCTATGCATTTCACTTCCAAAGTGTTAACAAACAAACAGCCAGCCAAACTCCTTTTCAAGAGCCAGCGATGTGAGCTTGCTCGCTCCTTTTAATTTCTTCATACAAATTACGCCATCTTGGCAAAGTTGAGTGAAAAGCCATTACTTTCTGAGGAATACAGACGAAGGATTCACGTGGATTATAAATGGGATGCCACACAGCTACGATTATGCTCTCTGCGGTTTACAGCTCTCAACTTCCTGGTTCCTATTTTGCACGTCCTGCTTCATCACAGGTGTCAAAATAAAAGGACTACACCTATTTAAGCATGAAACGATAAAACATCTACTTCATATTAAATAACTTGCTCTGATGGCCTGATGTTAACAGACATTCAATCTCTTTGCTTTTGGCATGAAACGTGAACCAAAAGAATGGGAGGATCACGCCGTCTTCTCCAGATCTCACTTGACAAACAGGGCCAGCGCTATGATTGCTTCTGTGTTAGATGGCCTTTTTGCTATTGTCTTGATGCAATAGTTTATTTTGATTACAGGGATTTCATTTGGATGGACTGTCCTTGAGTTTGTTTTTCAAATGAACAAAACTTTTGACCTGGATTCGACTACAACAGAGCTTAATAGCAAAAGCCATGAGCTGATTACTATTTCTGTTAAAATTGTCCCTTTATAATACAATGAAAATCCATTTACATGTCCTCAGTAATTAACCTTGTAATTATCGGGTCTCAGAGTTTCTGTAAAATGTGGGGATAATTAAATCAGAGCACTTAGAAGGGATAACGATGCTTAAATGAAGGCACACATTTAGTAGCTACTTTAACATAAAAAATCCCAATAATCAGTAATCATTTCATCCCTTTGTTGGTTCTTCTATGCAGAGAAATAACAAAATATTGTTTGCTCAACGCACTGACCTTGGTCTGTGAGTTGAGCATGCCCAGCTCCAGCTCGTTGTTATGGTGACGGCTGTTGGCCTTGCACAGGCGTATCAGACAGGACTTGATGCGGAGCACCAGGTAGTAGAAGGACTTTGGGCTGGGAACCATGTTGAAGGGGGCGGGCAGCGTGCGGCCCTCGTCAAAGTAGGAGAGCCACAGCTTGGCTCGGGCAAACTTCCACTCTACGTCGGCGTCCTCCTGCACAGACGGACGGAAGGACGGAGGCAGAGTGCGCTTTGAAATAAGCTCGGTTTCTGAAGCCTTACAAACCCCCTTGGAATCTAAGTTTCTACAATCTAAGGCTTAGATTGTAGAAACTTCAGAGAAGAAAACCAGTTACTTTTTACTTTATTTTTCATTTTACGAGGAGATTATGTAATCGGTTGCTGGCTTGTGTTTTATGCGGATCCACGGCTAATCTCACAGACTTAAAGCTGATATAATTATTCTGTATATAACAACTGCTGGGAACCATGTTGGTATTAACCGGTGACGCTGGCTCAGTTGCTCTCCTCACCAGAGGCTTCAGAGTCTAGTTTAGCTGCACAGCGCCAGTGCAGACAGCTGCGTCAATAACAGTGAACACGTGAGAGCACCTCAGGTGCGAGCTACGCTTTTGGTCTACAAGGGGGGGAGGGGTTGAAGAATTTTGGGGCTGAGTTCACTCAATCAAACATTACAGCAGGGGTCGTTGCAGACACAGTGGGAGATGGGCCCGCCGCCGAGTCTCCCTTTGAACCATTGTATTGAATGTTTTCTTTCTCAACTTCTCCCGCAGCCTCAGATGTGATCAGACATAGAATACTTATTAGTAGTAGTTGGCAGTATTATAACCTTCATTATTGACTGACTATGTGATATTTACCTCTATCTCCTGGTACGAGCTGTTGATCATGGCAATGAGCATGTTGAGGAGGACGACCACCATCGTGACATTATAGACTCCGTACAGCACGTAGCCGATGTTCTCTATGAATTTATGGTCGTACTTCAGCACCACGGAGATCACTTCAGACAGCCCAAAGATCGACCAGAAAAGGGTCTTAAAACTCTCCTCCACCCTGTAACGAAAGAGACAAGATGTGGCAGTGAGAAAAAAGTACAAGTGGACACGCACCCAAAAGAGCATCGTCTCACTCAAACACATGCACATAGAAACAACAAATGCATTTTAATGTTGTGGGCTTTATTACGTGGCATGGATTGAACAACTGATTATTCATGTCCAATTTGAACACATCATCCCATTATTGTACTCACAAACATACAAATACACACCTACACTCACTCACACAAACAAACAAACACAGGTCTGATTTTTGTCAAAATGGAAAAAAAACTGGAAATGGGAAAAGGGACTTTAGCATTTGAGCATCGGTTCAGCCTGTAGTCTTGTGTTGAAAATAAATACCGAAAGTTTCCTTTCCACTGGACTTCCACAGGCACAAAACTTTTCGGCTTGAGGGATCATTCTCTGACACTGACACACGGTAAGGCTGCAGGACCTGTCACCATTGGCAGTCAGGTAGTTTATCTGGGTGAGTGAGTGGCAACAATGGGATTGAGATGACAGAGAGGTGGAGCTGCCTCGTTGAATTGCCGCAGGGGCTCCAGGTGCAATGAGGTTGTGGGGAGAGAAGACGTTCCGGCTCCTGGTCGGAGGCTGTGGGCCTCTTCCAACTTGAAATCAAGCAGAGAGCTTGGCGGCGGCACAGTCGAGGCTCAGCTCACGCACACATGGGACTGAGACTCCTCCGGGTGCTTCAGCTCGGACCTTTCAGGCAGATAGCGTGACACTTTGGGAGTGAGCGAGGTGCATCTATGCACTGCAGTGGTTCTAAAGTCACAGTTGCTGGCGGTTTTGCACACAGGTGCACTACACACTAGTGCTTGCCAAAGCTAAACAAACAATTATTTTCTACCGATAGTTTGCCAACAAACGGGGTTTGCACTCATATATACTGCCACCAAACAAAATGTCAGGGATGCGGGGAAGGCAGGACTCAAATGCAGAGTTCGAGCAACAAAAGACTTTAATCGTCAAACAATCCAAACAAGGCCAAGGAGCAAGAACGCAGACAGGACCATGGAACATCCAATACAATGACGCGACAAGTGACAGGAGACACACACAGCTTAAATACACCAGGGAGGTGCAGGTGATTGGACACAGGTGGAAACAATCCGACAATCACAGGGGATGACAGGACAAGGCAGGAAGTGAAGTTACCCAGGGAGACAAGAAGCAGAAACTACAAAATAAGACCGGAAATAAAACCACACCGTGACACAAAAAAAGGGCCGGGACCTGTGCTTTTCTCACTGTTGGGACACGAGTCACATTACCAAAATAAGATAAATTCACATAAAATAATGGTTAATCAATCGAAACACGTACAGGAACTGAAACAATCAGAGCGACAAGGCACTTGTGCACTTAAACTAAACTTCTCCAACAAAAGTGTTTAAACAGGACTAATGAATCTGTTTCTGACCAGAAAAATGTGCAGTGGCCAAAGGTAAGAAGACAAAGAGCCATTTAAACAGGTTGACGCTACCTGGAACTATTTTTAGGATTAGGTCTCTCTCTTTCAACGTGGCTGCAAATTCCAGGGACATCAGGCTTTTGAGTCACGTGTAAACAGAAACATCCTCAAAAGTGTTAACAGTCGTTGTGGCATCAGACCAAGAAGTGACAACGCGACACTATCAGTGACCAATGGAAGACATCAACAATACCATCTTTTCACTTACTATTCACAGCACACACGTGATTGCCTATCGTGCAATCAAGCGAGACTGAGGAAGGTGATTTTGGTTGCCTTGCCTTGAAAAACTGTTATCTTGAGGCTTCTCTCTTTAAATAAGGCCTCATCATTTATCTGGAGCCTCTCTTACAAGATAAAAATGCCGGCCTGGGGCTTCGAAAAATGAAACAAAATGAAAAAGGCAAATGTAATCTGGTCTCTAAAACGTTATATCCCAATTATGCGTCTGATCAAATGATTCCGTCTCCCAGCTCTCCTTCCTCCCCGAGTGAAATGCTCTCTCAATTTACATTTTTATGTCCCCTGACCACAAAAAATGTGAGTGTAGATAATGATGAAGGGCTTTGTTCCAGGAAACATTAATGTGCAATTAAACCAGCCATTTTCCCAGACGCCCGCGCACACACACACAATTAGAAGTACACACCGACAACGCGGTGGCTATTTATACACCCACTTTGTCTGTTTGGGCCGTCAGGTGGTTTAATACAAAGTTCTAAAACTGTACAGCATTCTAAGTGCTACCGGAGGTAAACCCGTCCTCCCAGCGGGGGAACACATCATGCGTGACTGCAAACGGTGACATTGGTTTCTGCAAATGAATCATGCGAGTATATACGTATATATGAGGGGAGGGGGTCTCCGTCCCTGCTGGACAAAGCTGACGCACGAGCAGCCGGCGTGTTGGCGGCGGGTTATTTGATTCACCGAAATCTGCGTAAGACGCCTCTCCGGGAGGTAGCGCAATTCATGGGAAAATCCCGATCAAAAACATTAAAGAATTGGGATTTGGTCTTTTGCTAATGTCAGCTGGTGACACTGCTCATGGGTGTATTATCACATGAACAGTGACTGACATATGCTCTGGGTAATGGGAGCCTTTTTTCCACGTGAGTTAATCTGATTTCAAACTTGTGCGTGTTTGTGTTATAACATCATTGTACCACAGGCGGGGAATCAGCGGGGACAAGTGGGTATCTGGAGACAGAGATGGACAGTGTCTTATTATCTGATATCAAGAGTGACAGCTCCCGATCGGCACGACGGATAAATACACCCACGACAAGGACACACACAAAGACACACTGGAGGACACAAGAAAAGCTACCACTCCTTCTCTGCCTACTACACACATATATACACTCAGGCACAGTACACAGCGTTGTGTGCCTCTGTGTGTGCGGGGGACTGTGAGTCGCCCCCAAATCCAAATCCCAGACAGGCACAAATTCAGGCCCACGTTTCCTCTCTCTCTCTCTCTCTCTCTCTCTCTCTCTCTCGCTATTATCTCTGCCTCTCGTTCATCTCTCCTGCCCATATTCTCTTTACACTCCCATGCCATTTCTTCTTCCAGAGCCCCCCCCCCCCCTCTCCCTCCCTCTCTCTCTTTCAACCCAAAAGCTTTCAGTCATTTCTGTCCCTCAAGCTATTTGTATGGGTTACACCTTTTATTCCCCCTCTCTCTTTTATTTATTTGCAGCCACATTCTCCCATTAGATGAATGAACATGTAAATGCCCCTCTTCCGTTAGCAAGATATTAAATGTATCCTTCTGGATTTGGTCCTCTCTCCCCTCCTCTCCTGCAGACAGGCAAGCAGTCAGTCGGCCAGGCAGCTAAAGGCGAAGCATCTTTAACTATTAAATTGAGTTTTAGACACACTCGCATTGAGTTTGCAACTTCTGATCTGTCACGCCAGAGGAGCCGTCACCATGGCGACAGCAGGGGCTTGGTTTTAATGAACGAATGCTGCTCCAGATGTGCTGACTTTCCTGCCTGCCTATCATGTTGATAGAAGGGAAAAAAGAGAGAGGGGAAAAAAAAACGGAGGAACAAATGCTGATGCGTTTGTCTCATGTGTCGTGTGTGTCGGTTTCTGTGTTCGTGCATATTTACACATTTAAATGAGGAACGCAAAAGGATGCGGTTTTTGTGTGTGTCTTCAGGCCACCAGTGAGAGAAATCTGGTTAAGCGGGGAGGTAAACGCCACCACAAGAACAGCAATTAGAGACTGTTTCGATACCGGAACAAACGCAACATTGACTTTTTTGAAATTGGCCTGCTTTCTTGCTGACTGTCTCTCTGTTGTCTTCCTCTTTCCAAGGAAATGATATACATTATTATAGGATTAAACAATTTACATTTTTAAAAAGAAAAGCAGCAATAACCATTGTATTTGGCTGATTTTATATTTGGTTATTTTTTTGTGTACCGTTAAAACTCCTTTACAGAACAGCAATAGTTTAGCTACAGAAACCCGCCGAGCGTTTCTCCACATGTCGCGTGCGCATGAGGCTGGAGTAAGGCGATACTCGCTGAGTCTGCAGGGTGGTTTCTTCAACTATGCACACATGTAGGCAAAGATACCGAGGTGCAAGAAGGTTTTTTTTTAACTGCAGGGGAAAAAAGGAGATTTGCCCACTGTGAGGCACTGTGAAGCTTACAGACCAAAACACTACCCTGAAAAAGAGAAATAAAATGTTAATTTTCTTTATTAGCCTTTACAAAACCAAAAAGGCAAGGTGTTACGTCCCTGACCATTGCTGGTGATATGTGTTTACTTTGCCCAGCAGAAGGCTTAATTGATGGTCCATTGGGTGCGTGATCAGTGCCGGCCCCTTTAAAAGGCTTATTGATCCAGGGGGCTCGTGCACTGAGAGATGCGTTATGGCCTCCTTCTGAAGGCTTGTTTTGTCTTTCTTTGCAACTTTTGATTTCTTTTGTGATTTAATTTAAGAATAATACATTCCTGATTATTGTTTGCCCTATCCGTTGTCGTCTGCTAGTTTCCTTACTCCCTGCCGTTTGTTTTGTTTACGTTGCCTGACCCGAGCAGGGAGCGCGACACAAGGATTTGGGGAGGTTTACATTACAGCGAGCCCAGCAAAGTTAATTACAATGTTATTATTACTTCCACTTTCCACTAAAAACTGAAACATACACTAAACTACAAACGTTACTTATTACAATAGCCGTTTATTTTAGATGGGTTTCTACTATTATAGATGTTTTTTTTGGCGGGCTGGAAGTCTAACTTCACGGTCAGCCGTTTAGTAAATGATCATGTATGTAAGACTTATTTAGTGGGGAATTAGCTGTAAAGATTAAAAGTGTATTCATGGAACAAACATTGGTTACGAGACAATAAAAGCTTGTTTCAAGGACCTACTGTTTCAAAAGCTACTACGATTAATCATTGTCTTCATGGTTAATTAATCCTTCATGTGACGGCCTAGTTATCATTATTGAACAGTTTCCATTACCATTTGTGATCTTCCTGCTCTCAACTCAAGGAATTCATACACCTCGCCTCCAGAGCTAATACATCCTCCCGTTTGCCCACCCCGACCCTCTCGTCCCTCGGCCCACCCTCTCTCTCTCTGTCTGTCTGTCTCCATTTACATTGCATTACATGCTTTTGTTCTTTGCTTTAAGATATAAGCCTCCTCTCAAGCAGCACTGACAAAGAAAAAAGAGGAAGAAACTCAAAGACTCAAACTGTGGTATATAAAGAGCAGTTTTGTGAATAGTACTGATAACGAAATGCTTGGAGAAAAAAGAACAGCTAAAAAAAGTATTTAGTAATTATTTCATTATTTCTTCCCATCTATTCAAATAGTTCCTTGCAACACTTCTTAAATCTGGGGTGAGTCTTCTTGACCTTCTCTCATCCTTTCTCCCTCTTCTGTCCGTGCACCCTCGCACATCTTTTCTTTCCGCTGTCCCCAAGACTTATCCAGTAGTTCCCCCACCGTTTTCACTTTCGCGTCAGTACAATCATTATTTAGATTTGTTTCACTGTTCCTTGACACCCCATTGTGTCTTTTTCTATTTCTCTAAACTGCCATCATTTCAAAACGCTTTTGCTATTTCATTCACCTCTCCTCTTCTCCTCCACCTCCCCGCTCCGTCTTCGTGTGCAGTGGTGTCACACATGGTTGACTAGAACAAAGAGACAGGTCCACTGCTCCACGACCGCTGTCCAAATCTGAATCCTGATAGGTGTGTGTGTGTGTGTGTGTGTGTGTGAATTAATCTGTATATAAATGTTTGTGTGCCCAGTCTTTTATAGCAGATATGCAAAAACAAACATTGAGTGTGAAGTGTGATGTGTGAATGTGTGTATGTTTGTGCCCTTTTTGTGCGTCACTGCTACAGTATATTTATATGTGTGGGCAAGAAAAAGCATGTCTGCGAGTCAGATAGCCTTTCTTTTCACGCCCATGTGGACTGAATATGTTTGGCTATTAAAGCTCAATCTTCATTATATCCCACTGTGCATCCATATTTACTTTATTGTGTGAGTTTTAGCTTATGCAGGAGTGAGTCTATGTGTGTGTGTCTGAGAGGGAAGGAGATCCGCCACAGCACCCCACCTTCCTTCCCCTCACACGAGCACAAGTAGACACACTCGCACCATGTTCTCATCTGTAACAGAGAGACAAGAGATGGACGGTGCGTTGTTTGCACACTAGACTATTAATTACAGTCATTCCAATCACATGCAGTCATATATCTGAATTTAATTGAGTAAGACAGTGACAAAAAAGGCTTCACTTATAAACAAATATAATAATTGGGGACGAGCAGATTCAGAGAGAAAATTTTTTGTACCCTCTCCTTGCTTATTTCAGTCCAGGCCGGTTGAAGCCAGCCTGACCCCTAGTGGCAACACTGATAACAACAACAACAACAACAGAATGTAAGGCCGTTTCTATCATCCTAAAACCCTTTCTACACAGCTCGCAGTGCCAGAGTAGACAACTGGAAAGGAAGTGGTCAATCTCTTGCTTAAACAGGCAGAAGTTTTAAGATGAGTGATGATTTTTCTAATCAGCCTCGATACTGATCTCTAAAGCAGAGTGGTAAGAGATGAGCTAACAATAAGCGGAGCCAGATTATGAAATGGCGATGACGAGGACACCTTCACATGCAAAGCGTGGGGCCGGTTCTGTTCCTATGCTTTCCTTTCTGAGAAGACTTCATTATTTCTCACTCACGGATTGTGACCAAAATCTTTCTCACAGTCCATTTGAACTGCATTAGTCTCTGCTTCCACTTTTTTCCAGAGGGGAACTCCGTCTGCCGGCTGACGCGTTGCCTGGATCTTTCGCTCCATGTGGGCAGCCAAGCAGAGCGCAGCCTGTGAGACTCTGAGGTGTGACACTGGTGCGTTTAGATAAAACGGCTGAGCCTGCATAAATACAACATCAAAGGGTGTGTGGTGTTACTGCACCTGACACTTCTATATGTTTATGTTGAACTGTAGGTGTGTAACATTTGGTTGCATTAGCTGAACTGATCACGCAATGCAAGTGTGTGTAGATGTAAGAGAAATGCATCTGTATCAAGTGCACATGTGAACGTAAGTGCATGCAGGAGGACAGACAGGTGCATAACCTGATAACAGACGGATGGATTGGCAAGCTGTGTGGCACGGCGAAGTCATCCAGAAAAACTGAATCACAATCAACTCAACAACCAAATGGTGGCGACGCTCCTAGAGGTCACTGACTTTGTCTGATCTAATCCTTCCAATACAAAGGGGCAGGTAAACAAATCTGAATTGGCAGGTCTTAGCCTTCATGCCAGCAAACTGTGGTGCATCCAACTACTGAGTGGTGCGACTGGGAGTACTCCAAACCAGCACGGCAAACAGTACGCGGTTTATGCAAAATGAGGAGATGGAGGAACATCTGGGAGCAGTTTTTCATGGTTGTGAAGCCTGTTAATGAAGTATCGATGGCACGAATTCAAGTCACCCTGTGTGTTTCTCAACTGATATGAAAAAACTGTCAGGTTAATTTTGCACAAGAGCATAAACATCAGACTCCACTAAATGTGCAGGTTGGTTTTCTAACCTGTTAGGATTACTCAGGAAGGAACCGACTAAGGTACCGTAACATGTTGATAACAAGTGTGAGCCTTGATACCAGATTATAAACTACAATAACATGGACTTTTCCACTGATGTAATTACACACCCACTCGCAATGCCATACTTAATACTAATAATGCAATACTATTGGTTTAAGCATAAATATATATTTTTTTATTTCTGTGATCTGATTTCTACAAATATAAGACAACGACCTCCTTGCCGCTGATGAGTGATGCAAGTAGATATGCTAAAATAAAGAAAGTGGCAGCTGCATTAATATTCAGAATGAAATGTTGCAGGACTTGATTGATTGCTTTACAAGCAGGTTGATACATAACTTGTCGGTAAGAATTCTACACTAAAATTAAAAAAATAAACTTATATTTTCTGGTTGTTGAAAGAACAGACTCAGGGTATTGCAGGCCTGGTTGTATGCACTGCAGCCTCTAAGTGCAAATTGACTCAGTTAATTGCCCATGTGTAATGGATGCTCCCAATGAAGTTAAATGCAGCGCTTTGGCAGGTTAAGTGTAATTAGAGTACTTAGGGTGGTTACCATCCCTTTTTGGTTGGAGGATTTTCAATTATCAAATACGATAATAGTCTGACACACTTGACTTGTCTAACTCAGACACTCATAACAGAGCTGTTGTGCCACAAAGAGATTGTTTCATAACCATTAAGTAGAGAAAGAAATGATATATACATGGATGTGGATTTAGAAAATAGACTTAAGACAAAATGGAAAACTATTTTTAGTCCTGATTGAAGTCTACATCTGAAATAGGCTGGATGATTCTGAGCTTTTAAAAAATGTAACTTAGCATTTCTCTCACATGGCTGCTTTTAATTGTGTGGGGACCTGCCTGATAAATGCTGCTTGCACACGGCTTAATTGTTGCCGTCGCAGTTGTCCGCTTTCCTTTGACCAAAGTCCCCAGTGTGGACAACTTGTGACATTTGGTGCATTGAAATTCATTTATTTAAATTAGCTTGTAACATCTGATTGTAGTTTGTATGCTTTTGTTTTGTTTCTTACTGTTATGTCGTCATGTCTCTGCCTTGCTTGTATTTTTTGCTGTCAATGTTTTTGTCTTTACCCTGTTAAGTGCCTTTAAAAAAGGAACTGTATTATTATTACTGCCAACCACTGTGGTGGTGTGTTAAATCATGCATCACAGATCACAGATGGTCAATACGATCCACTGCGTGTACCCTGGCTTGTTACAGGGAAAGTTATTGTGCCTCAAAGAAACTTTACCAAATACTTTGGGCTGGAATCAAAAACCTTTGAGACACAGACGAGAAACTTGCTCCCAATTTACTCTCACATCCATATTGACAAACTCAATAGGCCAATGGATGTTTTGGCTCATCATTAACTGAATGACATATGACAATATTGATGCATTTTCCCAGAGCTCAGACAGAATAGTCAATTGACACCTGTCCCTAACACTGGTCATTTCCTTTTTACTTCTATTTACTATTTTATAGTAAAAAATTGACCTTTTGATGGCGATCTGCAGAGTAGATTTCTCTTTAACTTTAAAGTGAACAAAAAACAGTGTCTGGGAAAAAAAACATTTTCCTACCCATAACTTGGTTAAAAGTAAAACCAAAAATCCCCAGTGTTGAAGATTTTAGGGGGTGAGTATACCAATTCCACATTCTGCTTATTTAACCAAAACCAAATAGCCTGATTGACCCTGCAGATTGATGGTCGGTCTCTGCAACTGAAGTACTGTGGATTTGATTAACCCGGCAAACAATCTCATCAAGGAGGAAATTTGACCATGTTCTGTGGCCTCGTCTCAAATTGGATGGGAGCCAAATCATATATGTTTAAATTAAACTTAAGCGCCATCCGATCACAGTCGCTGTCTTAGCTGAGCACTACTCACGTGGTGAATGCAGGATTGTACTTGGCTCCCAGGTAGTACGAGTACAGGTTGAACATGCCAATCATGAAGGCCACAAACACCATGATGAAGATGACCATGAACTTGAAGATATCTTTGACTGTGCGCCCCAGTGAAATCTGCAATGGGCCGAAGCTCTCGTTTGCCGGCAGGATGTAGGCGATGCGGGAGAAGCTCAGCACCACGGCGATGGCGTACAGGCCTTCTGAGATGATCTGGGGGTCTGAGGGGCGCCACTTGTTCCTGGCTGGAGGAGAAGAAAACAAATATTGAAATAATCATCCACATTTGCATTTGTGGATTCAGAAATTAAAACATTTTCTGATATCCAGTTGAAAAAAATGATCTCAATGTAGTTTACTATCAGAGTGTGTTTTATTTTGCTATAAATCCTTGTGTGAAAACCATGCATCTCTCTGGCTTGATACAAATTGTCACCTGTGCATAATTGTTTGGAAGTGATGTTCCTAAAGAGTATAATCTTGGAAAAGGTCCAGTAAGAAGATTTGTTCAGTGATGATGGATGGGGATGAGAGAGAGAGAGAGTCAGTGAGTGTGAGGCAGCTGTGCAGCAAGAGGGGACAGCGGGTGAAGGGACTCAGAGAGAGAGAGGACAGCAAGGACGACGAGGTACAGGACAGACGAGGAAAGACCAAAACATGAAAACAGAAATGAAAGCAACTGTTAAACTGTGACCTCGGTAAAGGAGTGTATACAACTGACACAATGTGTGCACTTTTCAGTGCAAACTATGAGACGTATGGATGACTGACTCGCATCTTCCTGTTTACTGTTATGTCATGGCAGAGTAAGTCCACCAGGTGTCAGCACTGGTAAAGATTCTCTTGGACGGCAACTAACAAGTTTAAAGTCCGGTTGCTTGGAGCCTTAAATGTATTATTATGTTGCAGACGTTTTCAACAAAAGTTTTGACTGTTTCACTGCGCAGGTAGATGTCTTTGTCAAAGAAATTAAAATAGAATCATTATTAATTATCTTTGGAGGGTTGTGAATTCAAATGATCCACTTTTCACTGTGTTTGCTATTGTTATTATGGAATTGCGTATTGAATGTGCTGTGCTACAGACAAGTCAAAAGCTTAGGATTTGTAAAGACTATCTGCAAATTCCTTGGAGCTGAAACAACACATATTTTTTCGGATCAAACATAAATTGAGACGTAATCACGAATGCCCTTGGTTACAATGGTAGAGAAGACAAAGAAATGAGCGCCACTTACAGACACTCAAGACCTGGTCCAAGCAATCTCTGATAAACACCAGAGGAATCCGTAAACATCTTCAAAGCCTTCTGTAACATTTTAGGAGTAACCGCTTACCAAAAGTGAAGTAGGCGACTTCGTCAGGCAGCGAGGCGTTGCTAAGGTCTTCGTCTGGTACGTGCAGGTCCACATACTGCTGGGCTTTGGACGCCTTGAGGAACGCCATGAAGCGCGCCGTGAAGGAAGCCACAAAGATAGACAACATGCCAAAGTCCAGCACATTCCACAGGTGCATGATGTACTCTCTGGGCCCGTCGGTCCAGATCTCCTTACATTCTGACCAAATCATCCCTGAGGAAGGAGGACATACAAATGAGTGGGCACAGAAAGGCCGCAGGGGGGCTTAAAACCCAGGACCTTGTTGCTGGGAGGCAACTGGAGTTGGAATTGACAGGGCTGTTAGTGCTGCAGTTCCAATGAGTCATGTTTGATGTTTGCACACTTTTTTCAAGAAATCACTTATCATGACTATTGTAGCTTACATTTGATCAGGACTATTTTTGTCACATAAAGCCTTATTTCCAAATAATCCCCCCAGAAAAGAAAAAGATATACAGCTCTGTATAGCTCTGCACACACACACCTCTATACGAGACTGCCATTCTCTATTTGGAGGCAAAACAGGGAGAAAATTGCTTACTGAAAAAGCGCCCTGATCAGTATGATCTCTGTAACAATTACCAGGCCTTCAAAGCTTGCAGCTGGAATTAGAATTACCCTGCCCCCCCCCCACACACACAAGGAAACACACACAAGAGCACCTGCTGCCAAAAAGTACCGCGGCTGGGCAGAGAACGGTGCCCCTACACGTAAACAAACACAGGGGCATATGTGCACGGACATACACAGACCACTCACATAATGTCATTAGATGTTTGTGTTTGTAGATGAAAGGAAGCACATCAGCAGATGGGAAGATTCTGCCATGGGCTGTTTATCTGTTGAATGTGTCTTTGTCTCACAGCCGTCTCTCATGCCCGTCTTATTGTATGGTTTACACTCCACCTCTCCATCTCCTCCATCAGCCCCCATGTTTCCACCATTTTTCTTTCTCTCTATTATTTCCCCAAGACCACCTCTGAAGTCAAACTACAAATTTCCGTCCAGCTTATAATTAGGAGTCAGTACGGCCACTGCTTCTAGAAATCTGGCTAGTGCCGGATCCAAACAGAAAACTCTATTTAATCTTTGGAACATAACATATAATGGCTTATGGCTTTCATCCACTTGGTTGGTATTATCTTGCATTATTCTTGAATCTGCGTCATGTCAAGGTTTTGCATAAAGATTCACACAGGCTTTCCCTTGATTCGTGGGGAAGGAGTTGAGTGCATACTTTGGATTAACATCAAATACCCCAAAATGATGATACTAATCTGGCTTAATTGAAATGTTAAGTTCATCTTGATAAAACTTCCATCAACAAACATGTGCTGCATCAAGGTTATTTCTTATCATGGTGAGAAATCTGCCTTGAAAGTGATTTTTTTAATTGGTTGCAACTGTGGATCCTTTCAAACACTACCAATGTGTGTATGTGTGTATGTGCGTGTGTGTGTGTGTGTGTGTGTGTGTGTGTGTGTGTGTGCAGCATGCCTGCGAGCAGAGGCCTTACCCAACACCCACTTCATGATCAGCATCTCTGTCCAGGAGAACTGGGTGGTCTTTACCCTGAACACCTGTCGTGGGTGGTCTGTGATGGTCTCGTTGGGCAGGTTCTTCACGCCCTCAAAGCGGTCGGAGGCGTTGACAATAAGAAGACCCAAAAAGATGGTGAAGGAGACGGCGTGAGCCACAAACTTCATGAAGGGACTTCGCAGGATCTGACCAAGCTGGAAGTGAGAGGTATATGATAAGAAAAAACGTTTCCAAATACTTACAAAGGACCATTACGGTTAAAGACATATTATTATTGTTTGTTCAAACACCCTTTTACAGATTTAGGCATATTTGGGGGGAAACATATTATCAATTAAGTTGATTTTGTCACGGTGTGGTTTCACTTCCTGTTGTATTTTGTAGTTTTCTGCCACTCGTGTCCCCGGGTAACTTCACTTCCTGCCTTGTCTCGTCATCCCCTGTGTTCCTCTAATAGTTTCCACCTGTGTCCAATCACCTGCACCTCCCTTGTGTATTTAAGCAGTGTGTCTCCTGTGTCACTTGTCGCGTCATTGTCTTTTGTCACACATGTTGCCTGCTGCGTTTCCTCCCGGTTCCTGTGTTTTTGAACATTGACTATTAAAGTCCTTTGTGTTTCCTGACAACTCTGCGTTTGAGTCCTGCCTTCCACCCTCAACCCTGACAGATTTGGTGAAAGAATCTGGGAACAGTTCCCTAGATTCAAAGACGTGCATTTCTGAACTAGTCTCATATCTCTCTGTCAGTGTGTCCTGGCAAATAACAACAATTAACCAAAGGGCTTTTTCGTCTCGGGGAATCATTTTAATACATATTTTATTTCTATTTTAATTGAACATTTAGAAAGGTTCAAAATTGCACCCAAACAAAACATCTACTTGTTTTCACTGAGGTTGTCAGTTTTCACTCTTTATGCTGCCCCTGAGATTTTTGGCCCTCAGAAATGTGAACAGCACCACTAAACAACCATCGTGGCAGGCGATGAGCATCAGCCGTGACTGGGGAACATAATGCCAGAGTGACTCCATGCCAAACCATCAGCAGCGACTGCAAAAACACACCATATGGGACGAACACCATGCAAGTTGGTGTGGCACAAGGAGCATTAAACATGCCACCACAAAAATATGCCCAGACACACACACAGACACACACAAGCACACTGCTGCTTTTAATATGAACTACCCACAGGCTACCTCTACTCTCAGCATGCGCGGTGGCATATCAAATTCAATAGCTGTCGCCATGGCGTACACGCGACTAAACCATTTGGGGAGAGGTCGTCTGGGGAATCTTAACCCCGGCGAAGCTCCTCCAAACCTCCAGCCACTGGGGCAGCTCGGCCCCTGATCGGGCTCACTGATCGGATTAAATGAGTTTAGATGATCCCAGATCGGGGCCTGCTTCTGTGTGACGATTTCAAACTCCACAGGTTTCTTTTTCATCAGCGGGACGATGACAAGAGCAGATATGCTCTCCTCCAAAAAAGTGGCGGCCACTAGCGGCAGGCACGTTTGGTGAGAGGACATTAGTCAATACGACACTAAATGTCTGGTATTATTCCATATACATCGTCATATACATCTTTTCACTTTTCAGGAGTAATGTATTGATAAATAAGTATGTTATAAATGTGTTATATGCCACAATCACACAAACCCAAGCAAAAAAGGGCCTGTTGCGAATTATCTAATGGCTCAGTGTGTGTGTCAGTGCATGTTTTGTGTGACTGTGTTAGCTCCTGTGCTGCATTGGTGTTCGTTCAATTGCTGTACGCTTACGCACACTATTTCTACCCCTTTACAGACATTGTAAATCAAGCAGATTGGGGCAAAAACTCCAGCTTTGTGTCAGCATTATTCTAAAAATGTTGCCTGGAATATTTCCTAAACCGGCTTGTTCCAATGTCAGCTGGGATCTGCATCAGCCCCTCACGACCGTGAATAGGATAAGTGTTTACGGATAATGAATGGATGGGTATGAATGAAAAGCTGAGTGGATCCAATAATAATAATAATAATAATAATAATGTGTGTCTACTCAGTAGCCATTGTATATAATCATTTGTGGATCATTGAAGCGTTGTGATACTTTACAACCACAAAGGACGTAAATTTCCAAATGTGAAATGTTTTTCATACTGAATATTTTTGATTATTGACATCAATTCTTGAATAGTAAAAAATATGTTTGGCAGAAAATCTATAAAAAACATTAAATCAATCCAAAGATCTTATGACCTGTAATATAGGAATGACCACCATACATACACCTTTAATTAATAATCAATTACATAATAACCACAATTGGTCTCGTTGGCATCTTAATTCAATTCCTATGCCATAACGCAATGCTTGTTTCCCCCATTTTTCACCCTTTTCAATCACCATTTTCAGGAAATCTCATATATTCCTCTTTAAAAAAAGAGATTGCTAAAACAATTATATCTGTGGATTTTCTGTCTCCCTTCAATGAGATGCTAGTACTACAAAATGTATTAATATTTTCTTTATACCCCCCACGGAGATGAAATTAAATATGTTTTGAGGTAATGTGGTGCTGTAAAAACAGAACATCATGACATCAGCAACTGTTGAAATGAATCAGTGTCATTCACAATGTTGATGCACAAACATTATTCCTTTTTCTCAGTTATTAATTTCCTTTAATTGTTTTTATCACCCTACCGTCCGTAATTCTGCTTTTCTATTTTCTACAGAAATCTATTTATATATTTAGCCAGATTTTTAAATCAGGTATGTACTATTACCAAAAATGATAATCATAATACACTTAAAATGTAAATTCACTATACATTGACTTGTTATTATTTCACGCATCTACCTTCTTCCTGCTCTCTGCGCTGCATCGCAAAATAGCAGACTGTGACACACATACAATTGCTTGGTTGGTTGATTTATCATCAAATGTACCCACCTGTGACACAGTAAAAGAGCCAGGTGCACAGGATCATCCAGGTTAATGGAAAGATTTGCAGAACCTCGCCTGTGTGCGTGTTTTTGTGTCAGCGTGTCACTCGACAGATTATAATTTACTTGATTGACGATTAACAAAATGATGGTAAAGTGCCTCTGGGCTCTGAAATGAAACAATGATTATTCAGTGCTTTTTAAATGGGAAATCGGTATGTTTTTACCCGCTGTGGTCATGCCGTCTGTCTGTCCAACACTTTAGTGTTAAATATCTTGACAACTATTTGGTGATCTGATATCATTCAGACCATTAGAAATATAACTTTTACCAGCCAAGTCTCTGACTGAAGGATACGGACGATTTGAGATGGAATATCCCCTCAGTGTGTAGTTGTTGTTGCATGTTTATGGGCACCGTCACAACACTGTAATAGACTGTTGGGGTTTTGCATTAATTTAAAGCACAGCCCAGCAAAAGTGCAACTGAGGATGACAGCTTATAATAATGGATGTTCAGCAATATATTTTCAAATCAAGCCCTGTAATGGCTGTAATGGCCTTTCAACAGAGTATAAACCTGATTTAGTTTACAATTTGTTTTGTTTAAACCTCAGGCCAAACAAAAAAAAAGGTCAGAAACAAAGATTTTATCCATAAAACTATTCACTTGTCTTTGTGTTTAATGAATATTCAAATAGTGGAGGTGTGGTTGTCGGCCGTAGACTTTCCGTGTTGGCCATATACTGTATTAAATGTAAATTTCCTTTACAAAAGGCACAAATACCCTTCTTGTATGTATGTATGTATGTATGTATGTATGCGTCGCTCAGGTGCACATGTGTTCCTACCTTGCTACATGGCATTATCCAGTAGGCAACAGCCAGGAAGGGCAGACCTGCGGCCACCCCCAGCACCGTCCAGCACTTCACCCCAACGGACTGCTGCCTCAGGCCGGGCAGGTTCTCGTACCAGATCGTCAGCAGCTGCTGCTGACAGTTGGGATGGGCGACGAACTGAAGAGGCAGGCGCAGACACGGACGTTAAATCAAGGGAGAGGATACGACCGCGCAGGGCAGCGAGGGGAGAGGAAAGAGACAGGAAGGGGAGAGAAATGATCAAACAGCCGGTTAGTTCACATCTTCAAAAAAAACCTTTGGTGTTTTATTTTTGAAACAGCATGTGAGTCCAAAGCTACACTTATAAGGCCCAAGTAGCTGAGCGTGCAAACTGATTTTCAATTAGGGCCACACCTAATGTCTATTTATTAGAACACAAATATTTTACCCCGTACATGATTGGACTCACTGCCCCGTGACTTCAATTAGAAAGAAAATGTCAACAAACAGGTCGCAAAATCAATTTACCGTGAACTACGCAAAAAGAAAGCAGGCCGCAAACGAGAGGCACTCGTGAGTGTTTATACTGTTCATTCTCATTACTGAAGCATGTTTGCCTTATTAGATCAAGCTCGGTCTGGCATTTAAGCATCTGTTGCTTTACTGCAACAAAGGACAAGATAGATGAAATTCTCCACTGGTCCATTGGAAGCACAGGATGGATGTTTTTTGTTCCAGCAGGAGGAAGGATGTGGACGATACAGCGATCGATGCCCAGTCGGAGGTTGACTGATGTAACAATTAAACTCTAGTGTCTCCTGTTTTAGTCACACCTTTTGTTGTTGGACTAACTGCACATACAACGTGTGCATAAGGGCTCTTAATCATGCCTACATTCACAGTGAACCAACACACAGAGAGACTTCGCCTACGTTGTGACATAGTGTCTCCGTTGTTGTCCTGCGACGGGTCCATCAATCCCTTGACCCATCACATGAACCCTGCCTGCGTCCAGCTTTATGCACCGGGCTTCACCTGGTTGCCATGGCAATCCCCCCAAACCCCCCCCTCCTTTCCTGCATCCGTTTAATTAGCTCCCTGAGTATTGGTCACGCTTTCCTGTACAGGATGGAAAACACAGCTGGAACGAACCATTTACTGCCCAACACACAAACACACACACACCATCATGCATGAACCACCGCCTTACACACACACACACACACACACACACACACACACACACACACACACACACACACACTCATACACGCATACACACAAATGGGATTTACCTGATTAAAGAAAACATGCAGCGCACAAAGGTCAAATAGGCTGTGTGTGTGTTTGTGTCAAAGACAGTGAGTGTAGTTAAGGAAATGGGGAAAGGGCATTTGATTTGACATTTCATAAAGACACCTCTTTCACAGCAGGGATTATGTTTTTGATATTGATGCCAGTTTTCTGTTTATATGGGAAATTAAAGCTACACAAATACACAAACTTACTATGTGGGCAAAAAAAGGCTCGGGCTTAGTTTCAGATGCGTACACAAACACACGCACAAATCAGGGTTGTCTCAGCTTGGCTGAGTTTGAAGACACTACTAAGAACATTTAGAACCTCCTTAGCTGGTAAAACCTCATCACACACAAACATGTCTGCCTAGTTTATAAGATCATGCATAATTTAGCTCCTCGTCTGTCTGATTTCATCAACCACAAATCCGCTGCAAGCAGAGCTACTTTTAGCAGGCTGTCTGACATCCGAGCATTACATGTATGGAATTCATTACCATAATATAAAGTAAAGCTCATTATTGAAGTGAAATTATGTGTTGCACTCATACTGTAGTTGTATCTACATTTGTATCTACAAAGGCAGAGAGACTTCCTATTAAAACTCGGCTTTCAGTTAATTCAGTAACATTTGTTTGAATGTTCATGCATTGTCTAAAAAACTATAAAAGACAATCTGGGAGCAAAGAGTTTGAAAGATGTGAGTATTTATCAGGAAAGGAGTGTCCTACAAGAATGATTATGTGCGAGAATTAGGATCTGGTGTTTTGGATCGGAGATTCTGCTATAAATGTGTGTCTACCAACATTAAAAGCCGATGTTGCTCCCCAACTATATGGAGATTAAATAATCCCTCTGAATGTCATCACCTCATCGGAAAGAGACAAACGTGATTGGCCACCATTAATGATAGCACATTTCTCTCAGATCCAGTGGTATAAACTTTATAGGTTTTTTAGTTAAAAGGAGATCAATTCTTTGGCAGTAAAAGCTTCAAAGCGTGTGCCGAGGAAATATGACCTTGAATAAATTATATTTGGATTTATACAGCAGTCCTTAATGGTTAAGAGGCTTATTCATGATATTTACAGCTCACAGTGGCATTACAAATAGAGTTAAAGCGCAGAGTATTTTTTGTATTATCTTTCCTCTTACTGTATTTATTTGGCAAGTTAGGCCTCTGAAATGTATCATCAATGAGAAGTGGGCCTTGTAGTGATAAAGCTTGAGAGCAGTAAGTTGTCATCTGCACTATAACCATATCCCACTACTTCCTGCTTTGGCATTGAAATGCTAATAAGTCACTGCAGTTTTTCTCTGTCCTTCCAACCAGGCTCCTGCATTTTTTTACAACACATTGTAGCAGCGGGATTGCATGTTTTGCATGTTGCAGTTTTATGACGTGAGCAAATGTTAACTGCATCTAATGGCGCGTTTCCACCGAGCGGTACGATACGGGTCGGGTCTGTTAACCATGATTTGGCGAGCGTTTACACCGCCAACAGTACCCTTACTTGATAGGCGTGGTGTATTCCAGAAAGTTGTGATAACGTCACTTGATAGGCGTGGTATATATGACGGAAAGTAGATTGACGTCATTCGATCGCGCGAAAACTGAAAGCTAACCGCAAACAATAATGGAGGACATACAGCCGATCCTGTTCTTGCTTCTCGATATGTGGCTGTTTGTCAAAAGGAGACGACAATCTTTGTTTGAGCAAACTCCGGCGTTCTGCAGTGAGTCTAGCTCCACCCTTTAGTACCAAACAACTGTGCCAGGTACCCCAACGGAAGGGTACCCAAAAGGTTGTACGGTAGGGTTCGGATTTTTGGTACCATTCTCAACTTTTGGCAGTGGAGACACAAATAAAAGGGTACCGACCCGACTCGTACCGTACCGTACCGCTCTTTGGAAACGCGCCATAACACTACTACTAGTATGGTAAAGTTGATCCGTCAGGTGACCACTGGTCGTCTTACCTTCTTGACCTCGTACTTGATGGCGAGTATGACGCGGCTGAGGCAGGGTCGGTTGTACGCACTCGGAGGGCACTGGTCCACGTCGCCGTTCAGGATGGCCTCCACTTCCTCTGTGTTCCGACAAAGGTCCAACACACCCACCACAAAGTCCTTGCACTGCATGGACAGCTTACGGTACTCATTCTGACAGGGGGAGAGTTTACGATCAACATTATTTAAAACGGAATCTAAACACGTAGATCATTTAAACAACAGGTCACAGACAACATAGAGTATGACACGGGATGTCATATGTCGTAAAGAGAGCAAAGCTAAATGGAACAGAAATTGAATCAAATGTTTGGGTATGATTTGCCTTCAGTTTTGTATCTTGAACTGTATGCAGTTCTTTCCATTGTTGGAAAATGTTTGGTGGAGTGCAGCTAATGCTGAGCTCTCATAATAATAATAATGGCACTCATGGGGCACCAAAGGAAAAATGTTTCTCTCCTGAATGATTATAGTATGCTGATTAAGCTCCAAGTTCTGAATGTACTCTTCCCACTCTACTACAATTCAGAATTATTGTCGGGCCTTTTTTGTTCCCGTCTCGGTCGGCACAGTTCCCCTCTCAGCCATCTGCCTTACACCTCCCCTACCTCCCTCCCCTCCTGGCTGGGTCTGCTCCTCAGCGTTTGGCGGAGCCGATAAGCAGTCAGCATGATTAGAGCCCTTGAGTCCCCGAGGAGGGAATCTCATTATGGCTTCTTTGGTCAGCCACACCACCAAAAAGTAGAATCCCTGCTTCGCTCAAACTTCCAGCCACGTCTCCGGTCATCACATCAGCAATTAATTAAAGATGGCATGAAATTAGCAGTTTTACTCCCACTTTCTCATATTTAGCGCTGTGAGGAGGTATGAAAACGTCTTTTATTATCAGCAGCGTCGGGCCGCAGAGCAACCGACGTGCCTGAAAGCGAGTGGGTTGCTCTGTGGACCCCTCCTCCCCTTACCCTCGAGCCATTGACATTGATTCTTCAGCTTTCTGCTTTTAGATCGGTCAATAACTTGCGTTAAGTTACTGCTGATTAAAGCCGCATAATTATGTAACTTTTTGCTTGGGTAAATTATGTTATGGGGACCCTGCTCATGTCTGTAACGCATTAACCATATTTATAATGAGTATTTGTGTCATAGGCATTCAAGAATATCCACCATACTCTATTATAAGTTAAAATATCATGTCTCCATAATTGTTGGAAGGCTTGCAAGGCTCATAGTGATGAATAATGAATGTATTACTCTTATGATAGATCTCCATCAAGTATGCTATAAAATGTTTTAAGTAGCCATGGGTACTTAACAGTACAATGTACTGTAGTGTGATTGTAAAGCCTTATTATTAGTTTAAAACGAATAAAATAAATGTACCGACACACATACTACCTGTTGGTGAACCTACTGAACTTGGACCTCATTTGCACTCCTTCGGTGATTGACCCTTTTATTGAGGGAAGGTTTTATCCATTTACTGGAGTCACACAGAGACCAATTGATTTCATACATTGTAATATCTGGCACTTCGGGCTTGGATTTATTATTTAAAACCACGTATTTATTAAGGTCATTCAAATTAAAAGAAGTTAATTCTGAGCATTGGTCCCTTTGGGTTTCATGATAGAAGGCGGAATTTGGTGTATGTCACCTTTAGGTTGATAAGTTAAATAAATGACAACTTCATGGTAGTGAGTGAACACGAATGGTTTCCTAATCATTGGACCTCATAAGAAACACATCAGAGAATGCATACGCATAGTCAAAACACACATGCAGTGTAAGGGAAAATCCGTTCACAATTCAGTGAATTCAGTATGTGCTTTGTGCCTTGGGGGGTTGAGATAAAGGAAAGGGAATGACTGAGATTGAAAATGGAGAATGAAAAGCGTGAAGCAGAGCGAAAATGGTTACAGATGAGGGAACTGGGCCTCAAACATGAGGAGAGAGAGAGAGATGTAAGATGGAGGGATGAGAAGAAAAGAGGGCTGGGAAAAGTTTTCATCGCTGGACTGTTTTTTTGTTTTTCAATTTCTCTGCTGTTGTTTCGCTTAATTTCTGCTAAATCGAACAAAAATTGCTATGACGCAAAGACATAGTGAAATGAAACAGCACCCTTCTGTGTCTCTCACGCAGATGTCGATTGATGAAGTGGGCAGTGAATCTCGTCAAAAAGTCAATGACAATCTGTCCTGTTGTGTTGACCTGACAGAATGGATGTTCTTCGAGGAAGGCTGTTCATGTGTCAATGGGACAATGGGCATGCAGAGCTTAAAGAGGAGGCCTGTGGTAAGTACTTCATCTGATTCTTTTCAAATTAAAACGGAACGCCAGGATTTTGTGTCGTAACGTGCGTCCATGTGCTCCAACTTCTAAAAGATTTTGGATATATAGAATTAATATAGAAGCAGAGTTTGTCTGTGTTTTGTTGAGGTTACTGGGACTTACATGAGTGTGGTTACCATGGTTACGAACGATGACGTCACAGAAACGTAACGTTAAAAGAAAATGTGGTCCTTATGAAAGAGGAACGTCTCAGGTGATCGGCCCCCTTTTTTCAGTTGTTTCATATTTGAACGTTGTTAAGATGATGTGAAGAAGAGCAGGGCGACGGGGTGATAATGAGATGTTAATGAGACGGATGAGCAAAAACACATCTCTTGTCCCTCAGGTGAGCCCTTCTCATTAATTTGTCTAGGGACGGAAAACAGAATGACAAGCAGGAAGGCTGACTAACAAATACCAAAGTGGGCAGAAAAGATTAAGGAAAGGGCGATTGAGGACAATCTAAAATATATAGCGAGCGTAGGAGAGAAATGCAGTAACACATGAGGGTTAAAGAAGAAGAGACGTGAATTGCAACGCCATGAGGCCATTGTTCTCTCATTGGTTCAATTAGATGATCTACAGTAAACTCACATCCTCCAAAGTAAAACATGTGGACTTATTAACCTAATAAGTTCACACAAGGCTTTTGCTTAGAAAATGTCCATTTTATTTTCTTGCTACTTTAAAGCTTTTTTTGACTGTTTGAATTGGTTTCTGATGATTTTGATCTTAAAAAAGTAATTTTGATCACTGCTTTACTGATTTCAAATTAAAGATTAAGATTAATCATTTGATGAGTCTCAAAAGGTTGAAAGCTTTTGGTTATCTTCACCCCCCCTTTCTGTGCTGTGGGGGTATGTGAAGGGGTGGGGGTATGTGAATCCCTGTACTTAATGGACCATAAGAGGAGAAAATGTCACTGATTGTGTTTAATTTTTCCAGAGGGGCTGCTAAGATTAGGTCTGGACCTACCATGGCCAATGATACTCAATACTTTAACAGTGAACAGTCGCTTGCTGGCTATTTGGACATCCAATCTTACAGTGTCACCGGCATGTGCCTCTTCCACCAGTGACAGTGGCAGTGGGGGCTGCTTGAGGACTTTTTTGAATAACTTTTTAAATATAATCATCGAAATACTTGCTTTACCTCATGGAATTGAATGAATTTATATTTACAGCCAGTCTGATGTAAACCACTCTAAAACAATGAAGAGTTCCACAGAGATATTAAAAGGTCCCTCGATATCTACAGATATCAATGCAGATTGGAAGCTTGGAAGCACTTCATGTATTGTGTGTTTCTTCTTCTGAAGAGCATCCCTCTATCTTACCTTCTTCCCCTACGTCACTCTATCTAAACTTTGGTGAACCCTTGGCCCACCCGTATGAAATACCATGTTGGAGAAGTTTTGGGACGGGGAAAGAAAGAGTAAAACCTGCCAAACAAAAAAAGAACGATAGAAAAAGATGTTGAGAAAACCAAAACCACCTTACCTTGAATTCTGTCTCGATGTTGGCCAATCTTGCCAGTTCATTGCTGAGCTCCAGGGCGGTCAGCACAGGGTCTTCGCTGCTGAGTGACAGGTAAGAAGCACTGGCCAGCGCTTTGTATGCATTCATCCTGGAGCGAGAGTGACTGAATGCGTCTTGCTTCTGTTTCTCCATGCATTCTAGACAATTACAGAAGTAGTCATGTGGCCTTTCAATGCGGGCCCCCTTCGTCAGAAGGATGTGGACAATCTCATACTCTAGACAGTGAGCGGCCAGGATGATCGGCGTGACATCGTGTGAAAAACGGGTTCCGTCTTCGTCGTATGCGTAAAAGTCATCGTCACGCATCTCCTGCTCCAGAGGGCTCAAAGCCAGTCGGAGACCTCCGCCAAAAGCCGAGTGGGCGAGAATGGCCTCAACAATTCGGACATAACCCTTGGAGATAGCCAAGAGCAACCCATCGCCGATCCTTGCCAAGCCATCCTTTTTTAGAAGCAGCTCGGTCACTTCAAGGTGCTCATTGCCCACTGCCAGCTGCAAGGCATTCTGGCCCATGTAGTCCACACAATTGAAGTTAAGGGTTTTGGACTCTTCCAGCATTTTGCGCACCACAGGAATGTTTCCGTATTCGGCAGCGTCCAGAAAGCGCTCCTCCTCTGCAGTGAGGGCTGAGCCACGTTCATTGAACATGTAGGCTGGGCCCCGCACTGCCTGCCGACGCCCCTTCTCTCTCAGTGTGGTGTGCCGGCGATGCATGGCTTCCATCCTGTGGACAGTAGAGGAGCGCAAACAGTCAAGGGAATAAAAAGAACATGGTTGACAATGATGAAAATTTAGGTAGGAGACAAAGAATAAATCAGAGAGATGAGGTGATGGCGAAGGAAAGATGATGCGCGAAAGAGGAAATTATGGCGACAAGAGGAAACCACAGCATCATTGGCCACATCAAAGCGACAATTGTGTTACAAGGCAAACAAAAGCATTAATGTCTCCCAATGTGGGTATTCTCCATAGAAAGGAACTAGTTAAATAAGATCAGCAGTGCCTAACTCTGCTGACCCGGGAGAAAGCCGACCAATCTATCTGTGACATATCTGTCAAATCAATGAACGGCTTCCAGGGTCAAATCCTACTGTGGGGCCACCTCGGGTCAACAGCTCTGATTGGCAAGAGAGAGATGAAGCTGTCACTGTAATTGGCTCTTGCATGACAAACTCACACTACAATGAGCGAGTGGCTATTCCGAAGAGACTCTTTGGTCAGTGGTGAATCATTATCAATGCATGCATGCAGAAATAAATAAACATGAATATTGATCAAAATGTCTTTGTTTGTTTTCTTTTAATCAAGCACCAAGTCCAGAGACACACTATCTCAGCAAGAAAGAGCAGGTAAACAATCTTCTTCATCAAAAGGTAATGGGAAAAAGGTAATAGCTGTACCTTGCACAAACAGAACCGTTAATCACAGATTGTACTGAAAAACCCATCTATCCAGGACTATTGGATTTCTACATATGTGTTTTGAAAACACAATGTGTTGAGAGGCCTGTCACTCTGACCCAAATGGTGGGGGGGAAAAGCCTTGATGTATCCCAAATCTGGAGAAATAAAAGGGAGAAAGACTGAGTGACGGTGGGGGAGCGAAGGAGGAGACACTGGACGAGGATAAAGCTTTGAAGTGAAAAGTGGAAACGGGAAGTGTTGTTGGAGGGAAATGAAAATGGAAATCTGTTCACGGTGGCAACATTCCCTGGGAGCGTTAAAGGATGTGCAACTGAGAAGATGAAGAGAGCTCACCAAGGCAAACCCCTGTGTGTATGCGTGAAAGAACGAGCGTCCTTTAAAAGGTACAATGTTCCTGCAGAATTTCAATTTACCAGATAATCTGTTCACGCCTCAAACTGCCAATCAAGCTGACAAAATAGCCCTGTCTTTCTCTCACAAACACGCACGCACACACAATTGTAGATTATCACACACATCCACACGCAATGCATCCATGAATAGACACCTGTGTGACACAGCAGCATTAACACAGAATGTTGACACAACATCCATCATCCGTAAATTGTGACGCAAGCTAACATGGAAATCCTGCAGTGGATATTGCCGTTTTAAGGGCATTATTTGTCATTTTTAATTACTATGCATTATGTCAGATGTTGTACTTGATATCTCCTCAACACACAACCTTCCATGGATACATGTTAACGCATTGTGAATAGTAATCACATGTGAGGGGACAGCGTGGCTGCCAGACCATTTAGGTAACCTCAGAGTCAGGTAACAAATTGCCATTTTGCAACCCTCTCCAACCTCGTCTCTATCCATCTCTCGTTTGTGATTCTGATCTGAAATAGAATTTACTTGCATCATTTTTGTGCAGAATTACCGTCACAAAGTCAGGAGGCAGACTTAATGGATGTAGATGGATATAAATGTGTGTGTGTGTGTGTGTGTGTGTGTGTGTGTGTGTGTCTGCGTGCCTCATGCCTATATTTTAAACCAATATCACACTAAATACATTTTTCTTCCTGCCTGCTGGCCAGAAGTCCTGTATTCAGCCACCTCTAATCCCTGCTTCCAATTTGATTATATGGCAACATTTTTAATCCTTAAACCAAACACTGCAGCAATTTAATTTGTTACTGAGTCTTTTCAGCTCTGGTGTTGTTGCTGCATCCAAAGCAGAGGCTGCTGTAGGTCACTTTAAAAGACCCGGCCCTGTTAACAACAAAACATGTCACCCCTGCTAATGATGTATTAGACTACACTCCAACTCACCACTGTAGAAATACTGAATAATATATATTCAAATAAAACAAGCAAAAACCAATTTATTTTTCAAGATGAGGCATTCAAAAGAATTGTATTCTAATCAATGGATTTGAGCCGATAGAAGGTGCAAAGTGTGTAGAGAGTAAATGATCAATTAAACGTGTCAGTCACTGAGGACTCTTCTGTCATAAACTCTGTATAACCTGTTCAATACAACTAAACTCTAAAGTTGGGCCACCGAACTCATTACGTCCAACTCAAACAATCAGATAGGTTAAGTAATTTACTAGTATGACGTGTGACAACTTTATGAGTCAACACACGTGCAGAATATCTTAAAGAGTTGAACTCTCAGCATATTCTCTCTCTTTATCAAACACACACACACACACACACACACACACACACACACACACACACACACACACACACACACACACACTCTCTCTCAAGCGGTAAATTGTAATTTTTCTTAGATCAAAAGTAAGTTGCAGGATGATCTGTCAGCTGTAATGAGAAACAGGCATGTTCATACACTCTCTTTCAAAGAAGGACACACACACACAGAAGCATCCAACATTTGTCCAGGGACAGCATACATGTTTCTTTTCTACACAAAGCCTTTTAAGATGAACACTGGTGTATCAAAGGGGCAGACCAGAGAAGATCAAAGAGCCAACTCTGAGGCCTGCCATGCTTAATATCTGACATAGGCATAACTAAGCTGGCAGTGCATTGAGAGGAGCCATTCATGTCCTAGCTGTGCATGTAGATGTCTCCTGCATGGATGCAATGGACAGTGTCCTCCAAACGGTGCTGTGACCACTCATCAACTCTTTTACCTTAAAATAAGAGCTTTATATAACTCTGAAGGCTCACTGAATTGTAATAGAATGTCTGTGTTTCTATTATGTTCTTTTGGTGAGTGGGTACGATCTCCTGGAAGAAGAACGTGCAGCTTACTGCACACTACGTAGAAGATAAAACTAGCTGGTTCACAGACACGATGGCAGAGGTGTAAAGACTGAAGAAAGAAAACCAGACGTCGCCTCGGAATGACAGTTAGCCGTTTGCGGGAGCTCTGCAAAACAAAAGGCTTTAAGACAGAAGCCAAGTTGACGTCTTCCCTGCTCTTTTTTGTGTTTGAGCAAGTAAAAATTTCATGTGATATTTTAATGATTGTGTTTTGGGTTAGGTGGAACACAGGGATGGGATGGCTGAAGTACAGCAATTATGTCTTAAGAAATAAAAGTAAAAAGATAATTGAATTGTTTGACCCATCAGACCCATTGTGTAAAAACGTGAATTTATTTTAATGTACCTCCTATAAATACATTTTCATCAGAAATGCTGGGGGATGGGATTGGCATCAATAAGAAAATGAAAGTTAGTGTTGAGTGCTATATTTGAAGAAATAACAGCTGGCTTGTCAAGAAACCCGCGTGTCCACGAGGGGAGCTGAATCGCAGAAATAACAATTCCTTCATTTTGCTTTAAACATAATAAAGACACCTGAGAGAAATACTTGTATGTCAGACACTGTAGCAAAAAAAAAGACAGCAAAATTCCCAACTATGTTTTGTTAGCGTTTCTGTGCGAGTTCTTGTGTGGGTGACAAGTGCATTGGGGATGGGGGAGAAGAGGGGAGTGGGGGGGAGAGGGGGGTTGTTGTGCGGTTCAATTCATACACTCTGCTCAGTGTCACATGGTTTCCTCCTTTACTTACTCACACTAACCCACAACGCACACACAGAAACGCACAATACTCATTGACTGATGGTTGTGTACCGGAATCAATGAAGATCTCTCAACACATATGGGTGCGTAGTGGAAAAGCTACAAAGACACACTTATTAATTCCAACTGAAACACAAAGTTAGACCCAATTCAAACAGTGAATTGCAGAACTAGATATGATGAGCCTCTCTCCAACACTGACCTCTACTTGTTGACATCCCAGGTGGATTAGTCGCTCTCCCCTTTCAAAATTCAGAACTACCACTCAGCAGCCTCTCTGCAAAAACTGCACAGTGCAGAGTTGATCAAATAAGCACAAGGACACAAGGCCTCGACACTGGTGACTTCTAATGCATCGTGTCTCTGCGTGAAAGGGCAAAAGTTGTGTGGAAGAATCGAATTGGATCACTCACGTTTGCCTGGTTTCAGAGTCGAACTCGGTGTCGGCGGGCTCGACGGAGTGATTCCCGAGGTCCAAGCCCTGCGGAGCCCGCGGGATTCTCTGTCCGCGGTGCTGAAGGCGGTCGGAGGTTGCCGCGCCTCGTCCTCTCCACTTGGGGAACAGGTCATCGCAGCGGTCGAACACCGCGTCCATGCTCACATCCTGCCGCGATAGGAACGGAGAGCCGCCCTCCCCGATGCTCGGGCATAACTTTGCGGGCGTAGAGTGCGGGAAGTCCCCGGTCTCCCTGCTCTCTGGAGACGGGTGGAGACACTCTGGAGTGGCGGGGTAAGGCGGGTCTGTGTCACCCAGCAGCGGAGAGGCGGCGGAAAAGAGGTCCAGGGGCCGCGGTGAAGGAGGAGATCCTCGGGGAAGACAGACGGGCAGAGGCGGCGGGGGAGACTCGGGCGGAGGGGCTCGCTCGCCGCTGTCGGTTCCGTCACCTTCGTCAAACATTGGGAGAGTTCTCGGGCAGCATGCACTCTAAATATGTCTGGTTATGTGTCAGACATCTAACGATGTTCGTCAAAGTTTAAACAGCTCAAGTTTCTTCCGAGCAGCGCAGCAGCGAGGAGCGGAGCCTCCACCTTGACGCAAGAGTGCGCACGCTAATTAGAGCGCACCGAGGGTGCGCACGCATGGAGACAGCCTATTACTCAATGCATTGGCCTACAAAAAAATACCACCTCGTCCTTAGGTTTACTACCGAGAAATTCCGTGGTTTACTTTAGTGTTCTTCTAGACTTTTGCAGTACTTTGCGTGTATTTTTTTATCTAACCTTAATATCTTACTTGTCTGCACCAACAGTTTTTATTTAGCAAATTAGATAAAATACTTGGCAATAAAGTATCCTCTGATTTTGATGCAAGTACCCCTTCTTTTCAAGAGGAGCTGGCAGTGCGACCAGAACCGTTTGTTTTCAACTTATGTTTCAAAAGAGGAAAAAGAGTGCGCAACTGGTTGTGAGGGAAGGGGTTAACATACCCACCTGCTGTATGCCAATTACACACATAATGTGGTTATCACTTCAGAGAACAAGCAATTAGGCCGCATCTACCTCAGTGGTAGATTTATAAGGATACTTTTCGGCTCTCTAGATTTAGGCAAACCTGAATCAAACACCTTTTACAGTCTATATTTTGCTTTTCATATCTTAAGACAGTGTCCGGATGTTTGTGTGTGTGTGTTTTTTGTGTAATCCAGTAATTAGAAGCAGAGACTTCCTGTAAACCCACACGGATGATAAGCAGGCGTAACCTAGCGCTTTGATCTGTCCTTGTATTCATGCAGCCAACGCATTCCCACTCGTAAACAAAGATCTCAAAAAATTGAATCAACACAGATCACACATGCCAAACTGTTTTTACTGCCTTTGCATTTGGGTAGAAAATGATTCTGTCTGCCAGTGACTAAATGCTGTAATTAAATCTGTCTAGAATGAGGTCTTTACTGTAGATGCATCCAAATAACCAGATTTGTTACACACTGTAACAAATTGCTGTAAATTTACGGTATGTCATAATAACTGTAACATACAGTTCAATTTCCATCCCGTGCTTGTAAATTAACGACCAATATCATGAATAAACAGTTAAAGCTATCAATTTACAATAATAGCAGACTACCGTAATTCAACTGCATGTTACATATATTTTATGAAGTGGTGAAAATACACATACAAGTGCAGTGAATCACAATCCATCTACATCTTTTGTAGGTTAATGTATGGAAGCCCATGTCAGCCGCTGAAAAACAGGTCCTGTAAGTCATCATAATGAGATAGTATCTCATGAGATAAGATGAAGACTTTGACTTACAGGGCATTACTATACATGCGGCTGTCATTTTTCATCATGCGCTGCCTTCGCCGTCAATTCAGTGGCCGGAATGTAAAGATTATAAATATTTGTATTATTCAAAGTGTTCATTGCCTAATTGTCATTTGAGTGTTAATCGTGACTGACTGCTCCTGAACGTGACGTCAGATGTGTAGTCTCAGTTCATTCAGAACACCTGTCAGTGCAGTTCAACATCGGAGGAGTTTCTCATTGCCTCGTCTCTCCAAGTAACGTTGGTAAGTGTTATTTTCCTAACATGATTAACATTCTCCTCCCTTACATCTTGTTGTCTTCCTCAACTTTGTAATTTTAATATTTTACCAATGACAGTGTTTCTAAATGTTAAATTTTGGTTTGTTTTACAGAGGCACTGGATTAAGGACGCCAGCCGTTTGCTGCGGTCAATCGAAAGTGTTCTATAGCTTATTGTTGCAGTTAGTTTACCTTGTTCCTAATGATTTTATGATTCATTTTTTTATTATCGTATACATATTTTATGTTTTGTTCTTGGTTACAAAGGCCTAACATTTTTGTCTTAAAGGCATCTAATAAACTCCAACCACTATGACCGAAATTAGTTTGGTTGTCTTTCTTTAATTTGTGGGGAATTAAATGCAAAAGTATATGGTTATAAGTAAACGGTAACATTTTGGTATTTATAACACAAAAACAGTAATCGTATGGTAACAAACTCTAATCCAATATACGACAACATACCGTAAATTATGGTAGGGCACTGTAAATAAAACAGTAAGTTACTAGCGTTAACTGCCAGTAAATTGCTGTTAATTCACAGTAAAATTCGTTCAAGTTTACGGTAACATACAGTAATCCATTTTACGCTAACATAGTGTAAAAACCATTTGCAGTATTATACCGTAAAATAACGACTTGCTGCCAGTAAAATACCGTTAATTTACAGTGACATTTTTTAGAGTGCAGCAACATAGACTTAATATATTTATATACAAAAGGGTTTCTCTTCAGTTCGCTGTATCTCAGATTTTTTTGTTTGTTTGCTGTTCAGCTCGCACTTGAGGTCCTGGGTGGTGATGGAGCCCAGGAAACGGAAGGAACCCACAGTATTGACGGGGGAGTCACACAGGATGATGGGGGAAGGGTTAGGGTTAGGGTTGCGTTCTTCCTAAAATCTACAACCATCTCCACTGTCTTCAGAGCGTTGAGCTCCAGGTTGTTCTGGCTGCACCATGACACCAGATGGTCAGACAGTTGGTGGACTCATCTCCACCAGAGATGGTCCAATGAGGGTGGTGTCATCCGCAAACTTCAGGAGCTTGACGGACAGGTGGCTGGAAGTGCAGTTGTTAGTGTACAGGGAGAAGAGCAGAGGGGGAAGAACGCAGCCTTGGGGGGAACCGGTGCTGATGGTCCGGGAGGCTGAGACATGTTTCCCCAGCTTCAGGTGTTGCTTCCTACCGGACAGGAAGTCTGTGATCCACTTGCAGGTGGAGTCGGGCACGTGCAGCTGAGAGTTTGTGACGGGATGATGGTATTGAAAGCAGAGCTGAAGTCTACAAACAGGATCCTGGCGTAGGTCCCAGGGGAGTCCAGATGCTGGAGGATGAAGTGTAGGGCCATGTTGACAGCATCGTCCACAGACCTGTTGGCTCTGCAGTCAAACTACAGGGGGTCCAGGATGGGGGTCAGTGAGGGTGGGACAGGACTCGCCGTTCAAAACGTCATGACTACAGAGGTCAGGGCGACGGGCCTGTAGTCATTAAGTCCTGTGATCCTGGGCTTCTTAGGAAACAGGAGCGGCCGTGGTTTCACATTTTTACCAAAACCATGAGGTGTGTAGACCATAATTGATTCTGTAGAGCAACTTTTCAAGAGTGTGTGCTCACTTTTGTTTTCAGTGGAACTTTAATACCAAGTCATCTGTATGTTGTGCATGCATCCAAACCTGGTGACCTTGTACGGAGGACCGTCCAAGGCTGCCGAGTATTATTGTTGTTTGTGTAACTCCTTAATCCTTCTGAAGTATGACCTTACCTTTAAACAGGGAAAATGTCAACGACGACGGCATCCTGAGTGAAAGTCACAACACACCGAGTGTGTTTTCGTGGTGAGAGTCTGTTGTTGTACTCTCTTGTAATAGGGCTTTTGCAATACAAAACGGTTGTTGTGTAGGTGTGTTCCAAAGCTCCATTAAGACACCTCAAAAAAGAGATTTGTTGAGACCATTTAGTTTTGATAAGCTTCTGCTAAAATGAAAGGGCCATTGTAAAAGGCTCTACATTCAACACATTCTGTGTCCTGGTGAGTAAGTGTAACAATTATGTAGAACTCTAGCAATCCAAGGCACACTATTCTTCTTCCTGCTTCTCACTAATAAGCCAATGCAGATTTGCAGAACAAGTAATATGTGGGAATTACTCATTTGGCCATTCAAAAGGGAAAGTCAATATTGGATAAGTCTCTCTGCGGGTTGAAATGGTCTCAACCCAATCAAATGTGTCTCAGCAGGAGTATTCTCAAATCTGTCACGGCGCAAAAGCCTCCACTGTGACAATCACTGATTGAAGGTGTTAATAAAAAATTGATTTTTGAAAGCTTTGATCAAAGAGAGAAAGCAGTGCAGCCGCACGTCTTTGTCCCGTGCAATACAACGTCAAATTACAGTGTCACCGCACGTTCAATACACAGCTTACCAGAACAAACGTTGTGCACACATTGAAACACAACGTCAACCCTCTGCAGCCCGAATCAGAGTCCTCCTTTCTCACTGTACATATTAAACACACAGATGCACTGAGATCTGCAGGGACCATCTCTGATTCCCTTTACCTCATCCCCACGGACCGGAAGAGCGTAAAAAACTCACCAGACCGTAGTTGATTTTACATTGCACAAATCCCCTGCCCATTCAATTAGGACTTGGCTTAGGTCAGGTGGGACGGTACGCTGTCTTCCTCTTTGCGAGCCCTGCTGTTTCCATCACCAGAGGGGACTCTGTATCCTACCCCATCTGTCCATTACCAGTTACCTGCTCTTAGCAGCTGGTCGAACACTCAGCACCCCTCTAATAAAACCCTCCAGCAGCTGAGTCAGTCTAGTCTGTCAGTCTAGTCTGTCGGACGAGCCATCGGAAGATTTCCATCATCTGGTGACAGCAGATGTGCCAGTGTGGTGATGCCAGCAAGGACGTACATGGAGGAAACAATGAGTAATGCATCAGAGGTTCAAAGACCTGGCTCCACATTTCACATCCAGAATGCAAGTCCATCGGAGTGAGATGAAAGTCAAGCCGACGTGGGCATCAGGCCTGCACCACACGTTTGGATATACGATATTATTCTAATGGGTTGCCAACATTTTCCTTTCTATTCCGACCACCTTATCTATGTTTTTTATTTAGCAATTCATTTCAGACCAACCGGCTTTATATTTCCTAATTAACACCATTTCTTATGCAAATGTATGAGAACTTTTTTTGGAGACAAGGTAGCACAAAGGTTTCGAATGACAGAAACAGACAGGTGGAAACGGTGACACAAAACTATCATTTCATGTACCTCAGTGTCTTTTTTTTCCTATTTTCTCCTACTGCATCTGTAGAGGATTCCTCAAAGGCAGAAACATTCTGGATTCTCTTTCTCCACTCATTCTGGATTTAAGCAGCATCATTTTTTTAAATTTGACACACAAAACACAGACAATTAAATCAAGTTATTGTTGGTTCAAAAGATGATTTGAGGACCCTAATGAGACCTCAGTGGTGCGTCTGCCTGACCAGTGACTAAATTCTGTAAAGAAGTGGTACAGTTGTCCCG